AGTCACAAAAAGACATCATCCCTGCACCGCTCTATACTGAGATAGCAACTGATTTCTAGACAATTTTTCATTTTTTGAATGAATTTTTTATCATTTATTCTACTATTTCAACAATTATACAGTTTATACATCCGAAAAACAAACAAAATGAGTAATACAGAGGTATTAAATACGCACACAGATAAACAAAGTTTTACCCATACATATGTACACATATACATACACATAGATCTGTAAAGTAACTAAAGGTATTAAATACATATAGTGGAGTGAAAGTACACAATTTACCTCTGAATTGTAGTGGAGTAGAAGTAGAAAGTAGCATTACATTGAAATACTCAAGTAAAGTAAAGTACCTCCAAGTTGTATTTAAGTACAGTACTTGAGTTAATGTACTTAGTTACTTCCGACCTCTGCATCTATGCAAGGTAATAAAAGGATCACAAAATATAAATAAAGTAAACAAAATAAAACAATGAATTAATGATGCTCTCTCCTGTCTTTGCAGTGACACTCAGCGAGGCAGTGTGGTGACCTTTGGTGGCATTGACCCCAACCATTATTCTGGTTCCATCTCCTGGATCCCCCTCTCCCGCGAGCTGTACTGGCAGATCACAGTGGACAGGTAAAGAAACAAAAACACAGCATTACAAATCCTCCAGAAATCTCTAAAAGTGTTCTGATGCATGCTGTTCTGTTTCTCTTTCAGTGTTACTGTCAATGGTGAGGTTGTGGCCTGTAATGGCGGCTGCCAGGCTATCGTTGACACCGGTACTTCTCTGATTGTCGGACCTCAGAGCAGCATCAGCAACATCAACAGCAAAGTGGGAGCTACCAACCACAACGGAGACGTAAGTGCCCAAATGTTAAAGGATATTCCCACAGCTTCTTGTTGTTGAAAGAACGGTACACAAAACGTAACTCTTTCCTCCATTTTTCTTTTGCTTCAGTACATGGTCAACTGCAACAGCATTGCCCAATTGCCTGATGTGATCTTCCACATCCACGGAGAGACCTTCACCATCCCAGGCTCTGCCTACGTCCGCCAGGTAAGATTTTCTGTTTGCCTGCCGGACACTTTATCTTAGTGATGCATGAATGAGTCGTATAACCCAGTAATGCTGACTCATTTCTGGATTTTAGGACTAATTTCTGCACCACTATCCTCCCTCGTCTCAAAGTAAATGGTGTTTTGAACGTGTTTATGGTTGTTAGCCTGAAATAAGAAGGTCTGTGGTTAACACAAGATGAAGAGATTTTTATTTTACGACATAAAATACGTCAGTAAATACCCCACTGGTGAATAAAAAAAATGGTGGATGCTAACAAGTGTCTAAATGAGACGACTAAACGTCATCACGTCCACCCGCCTTTAGCTTAGCGGTGGTGACGTGATGTCATGTGACCGTGCTGTAGTTCCTTTTATAGCCCAACATTAGCCTCCTTTAGCTTAGCGGTGGTGACGTGAAGTCATGTGACCGTGCTGTAGTTCCTTTATAGCCCAACATTAGCCGCCTTTAGCTTAGCGGTGGTGACGTGAAGTCATGTGACCGTGCTGTAGTTCCTTTATAGCCCAACATTAGCCACCTTTAGCTTAGCGGTGGTGACGTGAAGTCATGTGACCGTGCTGTAGTTCCTTTATAGCCCAACATTAGCCGCCCTTAGCTTAGCGGTGGTGACGTGAAGTCATGTGACCGTGCTGTAGTTCCTTTATAGCCCAACATTAGCCACCTTTAGCTTAGCGGTGGTGATGTGAAGTCATGTGACCGTGCAATAGTTCCTTTATAGCACAACATTAGCCACCTTTAGCTTGGCAGTGGTGACGTGAAGTCATGTGACCCTGCTGTAGTTCCTTTATAGCCCAACATTAGCCACCTTCAGCTTAGCGGTGGTGACGTGAAGTCATGTGACCGTGCTGTAGTTCCTTTATAGCCCAACATTAGCCACCTTCAGCTTAGCGGTGGTGACGTGATGTCATGTGACCGTGCTGTAGTTCCTTTATAGCCCAACATTAGCCACCTTTAGCTTAGCGGTGGTGATGTGAAGTCATGTGACCGTGCTATAGTTCCTTTATAGCCCAACATTAGCCACCTTTAGCTTAGTGGTGGTGGCGTGAAGTCATGTGACCGTGCTGTAGTTCCTTTATAGCCCAACATTAGCCCTCTTTAGCTTAGCGGTGGTGACGTGAAGTCATGTGACCGTGCTGTAGTTCCTTTATAGCCCAACGTTAGCCCTCTTTAGCTTAGCGGTGGTGACGTGAAGTCATGTGACCGTGATGTAGTTTATCTAATGGAAAGAAACCATTGGCTTTTTGTTGAGGGAGATGCTAGTTTCTAGGTTGGTGTACAGAAATACATCCTCCCTGCACTATTTTGTCCCCCTCCATCTGAAACTCTTCTCTTTCCACAGTCTCATTCCTATGGCTGCCGTACTGGCTTCGGTAACGGAGGAGACAACCTGTGGATCCTGGGAGACGTCTTCATCAGACAGTACTACGCCATCTTCAGCAGAGCCCAGAACATGGTGGGTCTGGCCACGGCTAGATGAGAAACCTGGAGTCACTCTTACCAACATCTTTAAATCAATCACATGTGTTGTATAGTAGGATTTAGAAAATGCCTGAGACGCAAATATTTTCCCTGTCCGAAATATGATTATATTTCCTCATATCCAATAAAGAGAGTTCAATCTAATTGACTGGTGTTTTTCTAAAATGTACAATAAATAAACATGACACACACTTTTAAGTGAAGATATAGACAAATGAATATTTGATGATATGGATTTGATTTTAAGATTATTTAAAGGTATGTTTGCCTTTATTTGACCCATGACAGGGTAAATGAGGGATGGAAAGAGGTATGACATGCAAATCATTTACTAAGCCTGGAATCAAACTTGGGACAAGAAGCTTAATGTTTGATTAAACAATCACCAATCAGTCACAAAGATTTAGGTTGACAGTAAAGTTTGAAGCTTACTGTAATAAAACCTGTATTTATTAAGAGACTACATCTTGGTTTTGGTCAATAACTTTGTCTGACCAGTGGCGAGCCGTGACTTTTATACCTGCGGCTGTCTTTTTGGTGTCCACTAAATAAAGGATTGCTATACTTTCAGACCCCTCGTCTCGCCTCCCAGCTTTTTGTTGCAGCCCAAGAGCCGGGTTGTAACATATGGGGCAGGGCCGGCCCTAGACTTTTAGGGGCCCTAAGCGAGCTTTGGATTGGGGGCCCCCCTCACTCTAGCGCGTTCTCACTACACACAACACGGAACCAACTTTTGTCATAAGATGTTAGCATAAGCACTTGGGGTGTTGAAAATAATCGTTTCTACGATGCATTGCGATGCGGACGTGGACGATTCGGTCTCGATGAAGTGACGGAAGATAATCGGTTATAGCGTAGTAACGTTGCTTCCTGATTTTCCGGCCGTGGCTTTACTATAACGTTTTTTTTTCTGTCACTTTAATATCAAATCGGTCAGTGACGCAGAGATCAGGGAACAGACGTGACAGCGGTACAGTAACACCAAACACGGAGCAGTCTGCTTTATCCACCAACACATGAACACCAGTCCAGAACCAACAGCAGAAGGACCCGCTCTGAATCACTCCGTGTCGCTGCGGCACAGGGATTTATGTTTTTCAAAAATAATCGCTTTACAATCATGTCAGGTTTTTGGTGCATTTAATTAAGTCTTGGATTGCAAAGTATGGATGTCCTCTAGCAATTTTCAGACGATATATACGTGTGTAAAGTTTGTGAAGGCAGGAGGAAAAAAGCTTCCGCGATCACCGTCTCCTCTCCGTTCCTCCAAACCCCGCCCCCTCCCTGAAAATAATGAGTGACAGGCTGATAGTGACCCGATAGAAACTTTATTATTCACTTAATCACTGAGATATAATGAAGCTAACTTAATCTCATACATTCATGGGATTTACGTAACAGTAAGACAGAGAATGTAAGTGTGCACCCACATGCAGTATTTTAGTTGTTATATGCTGTTGTAAATACTCCTGTTGTCTGCTGTGTTCAGACTCAAGTCCTGTGTGTGATGCCACATTCAGGACATTCAGTGTCCTTTCTTTAACAGAAGACCGTTGCTAGAAGCTGCAGCTAGACTGCAGAAGCATTATTTTTTTGTTTTTGAGGATGGAACAACTTCACTCACAGATATAGGGAGGCTAGACCTATACAATTCATTTATTTTGGTTTATAAATGAATGTCAAGACATTTATGTTATTGATTTCTGAAGCACTTTCTAAATAATAAAAAGAGAGTTCATATGTATTTACTGCATGTATGCATTGATGAAAAATAAGCCATGTGCAGTAATATAGAAAATTGAGGATGCAACGCATTGGTATGAATCGTGATGCATCGGGATATCGAATTGAATCGAATCGTTCACAGGATAATCGTAATCAAATCGAATCGTGAGACCAGTGAAGATGCACAGCCCTAATAAGCACACATATTGTATAAATAAGCATGTAAATATCGTGGACCTAACCTCCTCTAGGGGGGTCCGGGGGCATGCTCCCCCGGGAAGATTGTTTTTTAAATATTGAAGTTAAAAGTATCAATCTGGTGCATTAAAAGATCTATGGATACATCTCTCAACACCCATATGAAACAGAACTGTAAACAGATTTTTCTTTATGGATATTTTACAAATCCCTCCCCTTTTAAACTGTATTCTTGTTTTACTGTCATATAGTATTTCATAACTGTTATTCATTTATTCTCTCTGGCTGTCCATCTCATAATGTTCACATAGAAACTAGCTGCCAATAGGAATATCATTCAGAAGAATTATAATTTCATGCAAAAAGAGGTTGCACATTTAAATTCAGGTGTTGTTATGGCAACGTCATTGGCCAAACAGCCACATTTACTGCTGCAAATACATGCTGTCCACACGTAAAGCAGTGGCATGCCACCATTTCAGCTGACTTTTTCTCAGAAATACTGTCACATAACATCCATATCTTCGTTGATGCTTAGCTAAACTAACTATGAAATACTTTAACTGGACAGGACTCCGGATCAACTGTGTACTGTAAGGTAGCTTCTAGCTTCATGTCGAACAGTAAGTCAACATTTCCCAGAGAGCTTTCTTTGAAATCACCAGGTAACGCTAAAAAACATTACATTTAGATTGTATGACAAAGTGTTTATTTGATATATCTGGCTAGCTATAGCTACTTGCTAACGGTTTAGCTTACCCCCGCGATTCAAAGTAACGTCAACCTAGCTGTAATTTATGCGTTGCTTACATGTTCGCATGACTTGGAAGTTTACTGACATTTACATGCCTTGTTTATCTGGCTCAAGTGGTGGCTCTGGGGTTGTTGTGTGAGAAAAAAATGTCTTATGTCCATCTTCAAAAACTCTGAGTCCGACTGACAGTTTATTTGAAACATTGTCACAGCTCACAGGATAGGTACATGTCAGTCAATAAGACAGATGTTTATTTCCATTCAACTCTCTAGTTGGTCTGGTATCTTGCCTCTGTTGCATTCACTGAATACGGGAAATTACTATTTTCACACCAAGTACTTTGCCGTACTTAGTTCCCAGCACTTAGTACCAGTGGTGTAGTGGGGATTTTTTTACTGGGGGGACGCTATTTTAATTAGGTCATCCCAAACAATGCCACACAAGTGCGCACGCGCGCATTGCACTCACGAAACGGGCAGACAGGTCCACAGAAACTACCGGTATGCTTAGTCCTACTTTAGTTACTGTACTTCAAAAAGCAGACGGCGCTGCGCTCAACACACACATAGACTCAAAACCATGGACACACTGGCACATAAGTTACAACAATTTATAGGCCTAAATTGCATAAGCTACAACTAAGCAGACAGCGCTGCTTCTCTCTATCTCCACTTTCAAAATCTATTTAAAACTCATAACAAACAAACAAAATTCCCAAAGTTGTCCTGAAATTAACTTATTAAATAAACGAAACGAAAAATATAGCCTACTAATGCAAACATTGAATCTGGACTTGAAATTATTCTGATTAGGCCTAGCCTACATTGCAAATAAGCAGACAGCGCTGCTACACACACACACACACACACACACACACACACACACACACACACACACACACACACACACACACACACACACACACACACACACACACACACACACACACACACACACACACACACACACACACACACACACACACACACACACACACACACACACACACACACACACACCTTGCGTTTTGAAGACTGATAAATCCTAAATGGATAAACAGCAGCCCAGTTTCCCAGCTTTGCAGTCCACGGGTAGCCTCTTGTTTCCTCTGCCACATGTCCTCCGTCCATACCTCGGGGAAAGGTGAACTTGAGATAGCCAGGGGAACGTTGCTAGCGCAGCTAACGTGCACGTTAGCTTGCATTATTCACGTCTTTAGGCGGCTCTTCTGATGATGTAGTACTTGTAGCTTCGGTGCTGCTAGCCTCTTTCTTCTTGTGAATTATATTCTTTTTAGAAAAGAAGTCAAGTAAAAAACGTTTTCCTTCCATTATAGAGCTTTTTCGTTAGTGTTCTTGAGGGAAAGAGCTGCCGCAAAATCGGCGGGTGGTGAGCTGGCCGTGGGTGTGTCAGTGACACACCCACGGCCAGCTCACCGCGGGGTCACGAGCGTGATGACGAATCATAATTTTTGAAGGAAATCGTTTTTATTTTTTATTATAGGCCATTACTGTGAAATGTATTATGTTTTTGTCATTATTACAACACATACACACGATAAGACTGGCAATGATTTTATATTTATTAGACTATTAAAAAAAAGATCATGCTCCAAATAAGTGGGGGTACGGCGTACCCCCGCGTCCAACGCCCACTACACCACTGCTTAGTACCCCCATGGAACTAAGTACAGATCGCGTTCATACCGGAATAAGTTCCCTGAGGGAAGATTAGGCAAATGAAGCCGCTGACGTCACTTTTTCTTCTTCTGCTTTGAGTTTACTGGCAGGCCGCAAACAACTTCACGGCGTATACTGCCACCGGAAGTCCCCGGAGTTGGGGAATGGCTTCAGTAGAAGCTGCTGAGTAAATCGCCAGAACGCCGACACCTCCTCATCTCCACCGCTCCCATGTTTTATTTTGTGTTGCCAAAAGTTATTCTCTCTCCGTTGGTGCGTGGGGCTAATGATAATAATGCCAGCAAATACAAAAGCGGCTTCACAAAACTTTTCAGAATTTTACGGGGCGTGGTTTGCAATTCGCCCAGCCAATCGAAATTGGTACTTTTTTCTCCCCAGGATATTACCACCTCTCTAACAGGCACTAAACGTGGGGGTAAAAGTTCTCGGAACTAAGTACTCTTTTTGGTGTGAACTCAAAATTCCAGGCACTAACGGAACTAAACGGGAAAAGTACCGGGAAAAGTACTCCGGTGTGAACGCGTCTAACCCTGCCGTCCTCTCTAGTGTCAGGATGAGGTTCAGGTAAAGCACGGTTAATGTATTATATAATTGTCTCAATAATATATTACATGACTTTGAGAGTAGGCAATCTAGGCATATTAACAAAATGAATTAAACATATTTATATTTATCACGACGGTGTACACGACGGTGTACTGAAATAATTATTTTCTTTTCATTTTTTTTTCTGAAAATAATAACAAATGGGGTATAAATATGTATATATTTTATAAAAACAAAGTGTGAAACAGTTGAATATGTAGTAAAACTGCATCTTAGTTTTATTTGCATCACCTTTTGACATTGCGAGAGGAAAAAGTCGTGCAAGCTTTAATCAAAAGTTTGTTTTCCTAACTTTACTTTTCTTGAGGTCAATGATTACCTGTTCCATTTCTTATCTTCACTTATGTGTGTGCTCTGCTGCCTTATCAAAGTGTAATGCTAAAATGTTAGTGCATTTGTATAAAAGAGGATGTGAAGCTGTGTGTAGGCACTCAAGTCTTTGGAGTCATAAGGTGAGTTTACTGCGCTTTATGGCTGCTGCAGTATTTCAGTTTCAGTGTTTCTGTGAAGAGATTTTTTGGTGAAATAACCTCCTTTTCTTGCAGTTGATAACCAAGCCGTGAAAATGCAGCGTGCCTTTGTTCTGTGTGCCGTGGTGGCCCTGTCCGAGTGCCTCTTCCAGTAAGTCCTTCCTTTCAGCTCGGTCCATGTTATTTTGTAAAATACTGACATGGGTAGTGTCCAGAGGTGGGAACTAACTAAGTACATTTACTCAAGTACTGCACTTAAGTACAATTTGTATGCTACTTGTACTTCTACTCCACTACAGTTCAGGGGTAAATGGTGTACTTTTCCTCCACTACATGTATTTAATACCTTTAGTTACTTCACAGATGTGGATGAATGATGTGAAATATAATCAAGTGTTAAATCAGACTTTAGTTCCACCTGGAGTAAATCCACCAGCTACCCTGCAGTATACAAAGTACTTCAAACTAGCTGCACCTTTACCAGCTTTGAGAACACTTTCATGATCAATCATTATAAAACATATCATATATATTATTCTGAAATGGACCAATCTGCACAATCACTACTTTTACTGTCGCTACTTTCACTATATTTTGATGAGAATACTTTTCTACTTTTACTTGAGGAACATTTTGAATGCAGGACTTTTACTTTAACAGAATATTCCTACACTCTGGTACTTCTACTTTTACTAAGTACAAGATCTGAGTACTTCTACTTTTACTCAAGTACAAGTTCTGAGTACTTCTACTATTACTAAGTACAAGATCTGAGTACTTCTACTTTTACTCAAGTACAAGATCTGAGTACTTCTACTATTACTCAAGTACAATATCTGAGTACTTCTACTATTACTCAAGTACACGATCTGAGTACTTCTACTTTTACTCAAGTACAACATCTGAGTACTTCTCCCACCTCTGGTAGTGGCGTAGGTTGGACCCAAACGCAGGACAAAGGAACGTATAACAGAAAATACTTTTATTTGTTTCTTGGTCTAGACAAGGCAAAGCAAACCAGAACATAACTTCCTGAAAACAACAAACAACAATAAGAACAACATTAAACAGAGAAGCAGGACTTAAAGGTCCCATGTCATGCTTTTCTGGTTATTACCCATCCCCTTGTGTTATGAAGGTTTTTATGCATGGAACGGTCTGCAGAGTCAAAAACCCTCAAAGTACACCCTGTAGCGAGTACAACTCTAACACAGAAAATACCTGTCTATGCTGCCCCAGAACGCCTCGTTGGACATTTCTCATTCTCCATTTTGTGCTTCGTGGGTTCTGTGACGTGTGAACACCCAAATCAACAACAAATGACCGGATTGGCCCAAATTGACCAATCCGCGGTGCACCTCACACACCAGGATCCCTTGGTTAACTAACAGGGAGTCCCTGAACGCTGGTAATAGACGAGTTGGGATGGCGGAGAAATGCTCTCCGCAGACCCATTGACTCACAGCGTTATAAACCTTTTTCTTACTCAATATCAAGCCACACTTATTGTTTTTACTTCGGCTGTGAGTGTTTGTGTGTGCTTAGGATGAGTTTAGCTTGTTCTCGCTGTATCGCTGACCCGGAAATCTGTCCGCTCCTCGCAGCAACGAGCCTGGCAACGTCCCGACAAATCAGAGCACACTGGGCTCACAGGGAGGGGGGGGGGGCAGGAGCTCCAACAAGCCGTTTAGGACAGAGAGTGAATACACATACTATACAGAGATGCTGGATGAGAAACCAATGTGATTTTGGAAAATTGCACAATTTAAATCTATTCTAGTAGACCTCAACTATGGAATTATGATCAGTAGAAATGGCCATGACATGGGACCTTTAATACAAGCAAAACTAAAGGTGCCAGTGTTTGCAGAGCTAATAGAGACGAAGTCCCATCTATCTACTTCCGCCCCATGGGACTTTATTTCGGAACAATTATGTATTGAAGTCAATGGGGAGAGAAAGATTATCTTTCGATCCCGTTTGAATTGTGCCATAAATTACATATATGATGTTTGTCAATCTTAAAAAATAATTTCCGTGTCAAAAAAGTCAAAGTTTGTCGTAAAACTGTTGAAATATTAGACTATGATTAATACGCAACTAGAAAGACTACAAATCCCAGAGTCGCGTAAGTGATGTCATAATTGTTTTCCTCCACTAAATATAAGAGATAGCTAAGATAACTTTAACAAGATGCCTGTGTGCTTAGTACCAGGCTGTAATCATACCAGCAATGGGTCTTACTTGTTCTTTCGCTTCCTGTCTGATGAAAGGACCAGGAGTGGCTGGATCAAGTTAGCTACCTAGCTAGTAGCAAGCACGTTAGTCAGCATTACAGCCGGCTTAGCCTTGTCATTTTAATTAGCCTTAACATGAAGTTACATTAAGTTAACCAAAGTGTTAAACAGTAGAGTCGTAGTCATATTTCGTGAACCCTTTGAAGACTACTGTCACACCGGTGTGATCATTCTATAATACACCTTTAAGCCCAGATGCCCCCGAGGGAGACATGCTAATGCTACATTAGCATCGGCAATCTTTTATTACTTCATGCTATCTGCACAAATGGTTAACATTGAACATTAAAAAGATCAGGCAGTTCAGGGAGAATCGAAGGAAGGCAGGTAGGCAGGCAGCTTTGCATTAGAGATGTCCCGATCTGATCACGTGATCGGGGATCGGAGCAGATCACGTGATTTTCAAAAGATCGGAATCGGGAGAAAAAAATCGGGGATCGGGAATTTTTTTTTTTTTATAAAATATTTGTATTATTTTATTTAATGTTACAAAATAAAAATGACCATGTTCACGTCTTAAAGTCATCCTGTGGCCTTAGCTTTGGTTTAAAATGACACAACATCATGTATGTGTTGCTTCTTTTGGGCTTGTTTTCAGACCTAGTTGCTTATTCCTCTCAAAGCTGGGAACAGAGTGGGCGCAGTGTCTAATAGTAGCAGCTAACAAGAGGCTACGTTCAGCTGGTGACTCGGGAGTCGAGACAGAGAAAATGTCAGGAGTTTGGAAGTATTATGAAATTGAAAGCGAAGGCAGTGTAACAGCCAGATGCAATGTTTGCAAGGCGGAGGTTCCGCGTGGTGGAAAGAACAGAGCTACGTTCAACACGACCAATCTAATACGCCACCTGATAAACAAACACCAACAACACGGCGAGTACACAGCGGCCACTCAGGTAACGGCACTGAAACAACCGACACTTTCAGAGACTTTTAAAAGGAAAGAGAAACTGCCCCAGAACAGTGAAAAGGCCAAACAAATAACAGCCAAGATCGCTGAATTCATCGCGTTGGATGACCAGCCGTTATCTGTTACCTTTTCTTTCTCTTAATGCATTGCATAAAGATCGGATCGGGAAAAATCGGTATCGGCAGATTGTCAAAATCAAATGATCGGAATCGGATCGGGAGCAAAAAAAGGTGATCGGGACATCCCTACTTTGCATGACATTCTTCTGGACGTGTTTCATTGTGGTGATAGTGAGGGTAGTCAATCCCTTGTTTGGCAAGACAGTAGTGACGGCCATCTTGGTGACGTGTGTTGTTGTGCGAGACCAGAGATGTAGTTCATTGAGCGGTTTCACACAAAAAAAAAGTCTTACTTCTGTTGAGATCTCCATATCAGGTTGAATAATTAAAACGAAAGTTAGTTATAATCAATTATATTCTTGAATAACCTACAATGAAAATGTTTCATATGTTATGATTTTCTATATTTACAGTATAGGTGACACCCATGGACCATTGCAGGCCTTACACTCGACTTAACAAACCACTTTGTTGGGTCGAGTGTGGGGCCTGTAGTGGTTTATGGGTGTCACTGATAAGGGAGAGACAGTTTCTTCCCTCTCCTCTCACAGCAGTACACAGGGAGGGGGGCTCCTGACTTAAGGAGATATACATTGAGGCCTCAAAAAGTTGGTGATGTCATAGCCGAGAATAATATTTTGCAAGTCCTGCAGGGGTCATGTCCTTTTTACACAAACATGGGAAGGTGTGTCTTATGCCATAGCCAATAGAATATGTCTGGTCATGTCCAGTCCTGTACATCAGAGGCCATGCCCAGTTTCCACAAATATGGGTATGGAGGAGGTGTCTTAGGTTTTTCTATCCTGTTTTCGAGCATAAAGACACTGGCGGATGGAGAGGAGCTTTCTTTTTGGAGAGAGCGAGAGAGGGGGGGGGGGGGGGGGGTTCCCCTGGTATACTCTCTCCCGGTAAAAGCTCTGTCCCTCAGAGCTGGGTTAATAGCTCTCGGTAAGGTTCTCTCAAACTTGGTAAATATCTCTCGATTTTCTTTGTTGAAAGCTGAGTGAATTTTCTTTGTGAAATGAGTGGAATGAATTGATGTTTGTTGAATGTTAGTACCCTGCGACCTGTGAGGAAAGGCCCTCCGAATTCATGCGGGACTAGTTGAAGTATACGAATGTGAATTGTGGAATGAATTGATGTTTGTTGAATGTTAGTACCCTGCGACCTATGAGGAAAGTCCCTCCGAATTCATGCTGGACTAGTTGAAATATACGAATGTGAATTGTGGAATGAATTGAATTGTGGAATGAATTGATGTTTGTTGAATGTTAGTACCCTGCGACCTGTGAGGAAAGGCCCTCCGAATTCATGCGGGACTAGTTGAAGTATAGGAATGTCGAAATGAGAAAATGAACAGTTTTGGTGAATGAAAGTTTGAATGTGCTTTTTATTATCACCGATCTTTTATGAGGAAATGCCTCTAAATTCTATCGGGAGATTTTAAATGTCACAACTGAATGGGGCAGTTGAAGTTACAAATGATGGTAATAAATGTAAAACTGTGAATTAAAGTTTCATATTAGAACATGATCACAGCATGATAGGTTTAGTATGATTATAATGTTGTAAAGAGAGAAGGTAAAAACCCTGTATTAGTTTGGACCTATTTTTCTTCAAATAAACTGATCCCACCTTTTGGATTGGGATAACTTAAAAGACATCTGTGCTCTCCTCTCCTGCTTCAAAGGTAAGATTGCACCCTGCCACACTCACACTTAGGTAGGGCCACACCTCATTTACTGATATCAAAATCCTTCGGGATCGCTTAAACAGATTTAAGAGAGTTTTCTGAATTGAGACAGCAGTTAATTGAACCTGGTTCTTCGGGGAGTTAATAGAGGTGAGATCTTGCTGATGTTGGTGGATCTGAGCCAAGCAGTAAACTTACATAGACCCAATAACTTCGGTTAGGTCAATTAGTAGGTCTGAGTAATTTCCCGGAATAAATTATCAGCCCTCACCGACTCTTACACTTCACAGTTCTACGGCAAAACATTTTTTTTTTTACTTGCAAAATTATCTTTTAAATTGACAAACATCATATGTGTAATTTGTGGCACAATTCAAACGGGATCGAAAGATAACGTTTCTCTCGCCATTGACTTCAATACATAATTTTTCCGAAATAAGGTCCCATGGAGGTCCACCGGAAAGGGAGGGACTTTGCCTCTCTATGGGGAACAAGTTGAACTAATAACAGCGGGAGAGTCTAACAAAACAGGCGGGAAAACCCACAAAGACAGGAAGTAAAAACAGACTACGGGAAGAAAGCTTCAAAATAAAACGGTAAACACGAAAACCAACGTAATCTCATCAATGGCAGTCTCCGTTTAGTTTTTCCAATATCTAGATTACAAGATTAATATTGGCAGTTCATTAAATTAAATTGAAAACAAGAAGTGAAGATTGTTAACGTTGTAGTGCCGAGAGAAGAGAGTCGGAGGCGGTGCAATGAAGGTACAAAGCTAGCTTTATTGAGCAGCAGAAATGCACATGTTGTTGGGTCGGAGCCCGGGAAGAGAAGAGAAAGAAGAAAGGAGGGCACACAGTAAGTACACAGGAGGTACAGTCAACAAATGTGTCCGTGCGGAACAATACTCCCAACCTGTAGTTCCATGAGTGAATTATGTGTCAATCAGTGATCACTACACAAGCCCCCCCAGAATTCAACCATGGACACAATCCACGTGTCCGGGAGGAAGCACCACAGGGGCCGAGGAGGGTGGGGCCGCAAGCGAGGGCCGGAGCATGGAACGTGCCGTCGGAAGGGGGACGCAGGAGAGGGTAGGAGCCCCTACAAGGACGAGGGCCTCCCCACCGTTGTGTGGGGGCCGGGCCATGGTACGGGCCATCGTAAGGGGGCCGCAGGGGGCCGTGGTAGGCATCGTGGCGAATGAAGACAACATCCGCCAGCCGTAGAAAGCTGGGTTGCTGTGCTGCAACGTGGGGAGGGAGGAGCGCTGCCCGGCCGCAGGTGAAGGCACAGCGGCGGCGGGCATGAAGTCCCCGGAAGGATGGAGCGGTATCCCTGGGGGCAGGAGCAGTATCCCCGGGAGGAAGGAGCCGTGGACAGGGGAGAGGCCAGACGGGGTCCAGAAGTGCGCCACCCAGGTGCTGTCGAAAGCGTGGGCGACGTCCGAAGCCGCTGCCAAGGCGAGGGGAGACGGGGTCCAGAAGTGCGCCATCCAGGCGCTGTCAAAAGCGTGGGCGACGTCCGAAGCCGCTGCCAAGAAGAGGGGAGACGGGGTCCAGAAGTGCGCCACCCAGGCGCTGTCAAAAGTGTGGGCGACGTCCGAAGCCGCTGCCAAGTCGAGGGGAGACGGGGTCCAGAAGTGCGCCACCCAGGTGCTGTCGAAAGCGTGGGCGACGTCTGAAACCGCCGTCGAGGTGGTGAAACAGTGAGAGGGTCCACACGAGGTCGACCAGACTTGGTCGAACCTCCGCTCAGGCACCAGAAAAAAAGGGTTAACAGTTGGATGTTGACAGATGGATGAAGTCAGTCGTTAGCTGCTAGCAGTTAGCTGTCAGTCGGCGTTAGCTGCTAGCCGTTAGCTGTCGTCGTTAGCCTTTAGCCGTTAGCTGTTAGCCGTTGTTGACGGCCGTTAGCTGTAAGCCACTAGCCGTTAGACGATGTCGTCGGCCCCGGAGCCTCTGCCAGGGAACATGTTGTTGGGTCGGAGCCCGGGAAGAGAAGAGAAAGAAGAAAGAAGGGCACACAGTAAGTACACAGGAGGTACAGTCAACAAATGTGTCCGTGCGGAGCAATACCCCCGACCTGTAGTTCCATGAGTGAATTATGTTTCAATCAGTGATCACTACAACGTTGACGATGAAGGAAACATGCAAAAACCTCGTAGAAAACAAAATGAAAGTGTCTCCAGTTGGTGCATTGCAGGGTTCATGTATATCGACATCTTGCACAATTTGTATTTTTGTATTTTATCATATATGTTGCATGCATGGTAGGAGGAGCTCAGGTCAGAAGAATTGCATTGCCATTTCTACACTGTAGCTTTGTGCATATGATAATAAAACCTGTGAAACCAAATGAAAGTGTCTCCCGTTGGTTTTTCACAGCCTTTCTCTGGAGAAGGGTATGACAGCGAGGGAGATCCTGGAAGAGCAAGGTCTTTGGGAGGAATACCGTCCCAAATACCCGTACAACCCCATGGCCAAGTTTGACGATAAATTAGCTGTCGGCATCGAGTCCATGACCAACGACGCTGATGTGAGTAACAGCTGCTGAAGATTTAAAGGTCACCTATTATGTAGACAAAATCCACTTCTTCATGTCTCTTCTACATCAACATGTGTCCCCTCTTCTTCATGTCTCTTCTACATCAACATGTGTCCCCTCTTCTTCATGTATCTTCTACATCAACATGTGTCCCCTCTTCTTCATGTCTCTTCTACATCAACATGTGTCCCCTCTTCTTCATGTCTCTTCAACATCAACATGTGTCCCCTCTTCTTCATGTCTCTTCTACATCAACATGTGTCCCCTCTTCTTCATGTCTCTTCTACATCAACATGTGTCCCCTCTTCTTCATGTCTCTTCTTCATCAACATGTGTCCCCTCTTCTTCATCTCTCCTCTACATCAACATGTGTCCCCTCTTCTTCATGTCTCTTCCACATCAACATGTGTCCCCTCTTCTCCATGTCTCTTCTACATCAACATGTGTCCCCTCTTCTTCATGTCTCTTCTACATCAACATGTGTCCCCTCTTCTTCATGTCTCTTCCACATCAACATGTGTCCCCTCTTCTCCATGTCTCTTCTACATCAACATGTGTCCCCTCTTCTTCATGTCTCTTCTACATCAACATGTGTCCCCCTCTTCTTCATGTCTCTTCCACATCAACATGTGTCCCCTCTTCTCCATGTCTCTTCTACATCAACATGTGTCCCCTCTTCTCCATGTCTCTTCTACATCAACATGTGTCCCCTCTTCTTCATGTCTCTTCTACATCAACATGTGTCCCCTCTTCTTCATGTCTCTTCTTCATCAACGTGTGTCCCCTCTTCTTCATGTCTCTTCCACATCAACATGTGTCCCCTCTTCTCCATGTCTCTTCTACATCAACATGTGTCCCCTCTTCTTCATGTCTCTTCTACATCAACATGTGTCCCCTCTTCTTCATGTCTCTTCTACATCAACATGTGTCCCCTCTTCTTCATGTCTCTTCTACATCAACATGTGTCCCCTCTTCTTCATGTGTCTTCTACATCAACATGTGTCCACTCTTCTTCATGTCTCTTCTACATCAACATGTGTCCCCTCTTCTTCATGTCTCTTCTACATCAACATGTGTCCCCTCTTCTTCATGTCTCTTCTACATCAACATGTGTCCCCTCTTCTTCATGTCTCTTCTACATCAACATGTGTCCCCTCTGTGGAAAGAGACTCTGAAAGTTTCAGGAACAAAGATTCTCTCTCTTTTTGATCCATTTCTATAAAAACCTGTCTGAAAATGAGCTGATCAGATTTTGGCCACTTTATGATGTCATAACGATGTTTTGTCTTGTGTAACCATTAGCCAATCACCAAGCAAGGTAACCCCCCCCCCCCTTATCACCTGAATCTCCTCCTAGAGCACCATTGAGTTCTTTGTAACCAAATGTCTCTCAGAGGGGCGTGGGGAGGGGCTCCTTATTTTCATCTGAAGTAACAGACAGAGAATCAGCACTTTGGAAACAGGGCTGAGACAGAGGGGATTATGGGTAATGCTGCAATGATCTGTTTGGTGTTCCAGCCAATCAGAGACAGGTTCTGTATATATCTGAGACCTGTGATATATTGATGATAAACAGTATAGGGGACCTTTAACAGATTAACTTTGATAAAGAAAGCTAAGGTTCCCATTGTGTCCTCTTCCTCTCCAGCTGGCTTACTCTGGCATCATCTCCATCGGGAATCCTCCTCAAACCTTCAGGGTCATCTTCGACACCGGATCCTCCAACCTGTGGATTCCCTCCATTTACTGCAACAGCATCGCCTGCAGTACGTAGAACTCTTCATGCATTTATTAGCGTCTATGAAAGCAAAGGTAATCTCAGATGAGCAACACGGTCCCTGAGGAAACAAGGGGTTGATGACATGATAAATATTGAAATGAGGAAGGACCAGATCACACCTAAATCCAATAAGTAAGGAAGGATGGATCTGATAGTCTTTAAAGATGTGGTAGTAGAGATCCAGAGCGAGTTGTTAGGGTTAGGGTTTAGTCCTAGAGGCCGTAATTGTACAACTTTAATGTCAGAGAAAATCCACATTTTTTCTTGTTGTTATACAGCCCTTATCTCTGATGTTCTGAGAAAGTTTTTGTTAGGTGGGTTAAAAGTTTAGATTGCAGATCATAGGTTAATATTGGCAGTCCATTAAACTAGATTGAAAACAAGAGGTCAATGCCATTTGCTTTACTTTTTTTTATTTATAAATATACACTTTATCAGACAAGCATTGTAACATTTGTGTCCAACATCTGTTCTTTATAGACAACCACAACAAGTTTAACCCTGGCAACAGCAGCACTTTCAGAAACAACGGCCATGCTCTCAACATCCAGTACGGCACCGGCAGCATGACCGGATTCCTGGGATACGACACTGTGACCGTAAGAAATTTAAAGAAATCACTCACACTACGTATTTGAAAATGTAAAATTAGTTTACAGTTCACATGTTTAACAATGAAGGTAAACTGAATTTCTGTTGGGCTGAAGTGTCCTATTTATGTGTTGCACAACCTTTTTTACTTGATTAGCAGAGGTGGGAAGTAGTGGAGTACAAATACTTACTGTACTTAAGTACATATTTCTGGTATCAGTACTTTACTCCACTACTTATTTTTCTGACGACTTTTTACTTTGACTTCTTACATGTTGAACACAAATACCTGTACTTTCTACTTCTTACATGTTGAACACAAATACCTGTACTTTCTACTTCTTACATGTTGAACACAAATACCTGTACTTTCTACTTCTTACATGTTGAACTCAAATACCTGCACTTTCTACTTCTTACATGTTGAACTCAAACACCTGTACTTTCTACTTCTTACATGTTGAACCCAAATACCTGTACTTTCTACTTCTTACATGTTGAACTCAAATACCTGTACTTTCTACTTCTTACATGTTGAACTCAAATACCTGTACTTTCTACTTCTTACATGTTGAACTCAAATACCTGTACTTTCTACTTCTTACATGTTGAACCCAAATACCTGTACTTTCTACTTCTTACATGTTGAACTCAAATACCTGTACTTTCTACTTCTTACATGTTGAACTCAAATACCTGTACTTTCTACTTCTTACATGTTGAACACAAATACCTGTACCTTCTACTTCTTACATGTTGAACCCAAATACCTGTACTTTCTACTTCTTACATGTTGAACTCAAATACCTGTACTTTCTACTTCTTACATGTTGAACTCAAATACCTGTACTTTCTACTTCTTACATGTTGAACCCAAATACCTGTACTTTCTACTTCTTACATGTTGAACTCAAATACCTGTACTTTCTACTTCTTACATGTTGAACCCAAATACCTGTACTTTCTACTTCTTACATGTTGAACTCAAATACTTGTACTTTCTACTTCTTACATGTTGAACACAAATACCTGTACTTTCTACTTCTCTCATTTCCCAAACAGCTGGTTCCTTTAGTCTGAATGTGTGTTTGATGCGTGATCATTATTCTTTAGAGTCATTGCGTGCCTATTGATTTGAACACGATCCGTGTATCCATCATTTCCTGGTCTTCTCTAAAGAAGAGGGACCAATGGAAACGTTGTCATGTTGCCGTTGTTCAGCATGGAAACATTCATTAGCTAACAATGACATTATTGTTCTATTAATATAAAGGGAGGTCAGGTACTCTTTAAAACAGCTGCTAGCTATGGGTACTTTCTACTGAAGTACATTTCAAAGCCTCTTTACTTTCACTTGAGTAAAGAAGTTTAGTCAGTACTTCTACTTTCACCAGAGTATTTTGAAACACGAGTATCTCTACTTCTACTTGAGGAAAGGATGTCTGTACTTTTACCATCTCTGTTGATTAGCAAAATCAAATGATCCTGTTGTAATTTGAGAGTGTTTTTAATCCCTGTGTTCTGTGTTTCTCAGGTGGGTGGTCTCGCTGTGAATAACCAGATCATCGGCCTGAGTCAGTCTGAAGCTGACTTCTTGCAGTACATGCACGCTGACGGAATCCTCGGCCTGGCGTACCCTCGCCTGGCTGAATCGAACGCTACACCCATCTTCGACAACATGATGATGGAGAATCTGGTCAACCAGGACGTTTTCTCCTTCTATCTGAGCTCGTAAGCACAGAAATAACTTTGCAGTATTCAAATCAAGAGGACTAATGCAGGAATGAATCCTAATACCATTGAATAAGTCAGCTTTTTACCTCTTCTTGTAGTCTTGAAGTAAATCGTTTTTTTAAGGTTTTTTGGTGGTTGGCTTGGTTGAAATAAGGTCGATTTGTTGCACAACATAAAATACATCATTTAATACCCCACTGGTGGATTTAAAAATGGCATTTGCTAACAAGTGTCTAAATGAGACGACTAAACGTTATCACGCCCAACATTAGCCAACGTTAGCTTATCGATATAGCCTTACATTAGCTTTTGTCTTCATAAAGTGTTGGAAGTAAATGTTTTTTTAATTTGTTTTGGTTGTTTGCTTGAACATAAGGTCTGCACAAGCTGAAGAGATTTTCACGATTCGTTCTACGACATAAAATATAACCCACTGGTGGATTTAAAAATGGCGTTTGCTAACAAGTGTCTAAACAAGACGACTAAACTTCATCACACCCAACATTAGCCAACGTTAGCTTATCGATATGGCCTTACATTAGCTGTTGTCTTCATACAGTGTTGTATGTTGTAATTAATATGTGGAGATTATCTATCAAAATAAGTCATCATCATGAACATCTATTTGTCTCAGATCCTATTTTCTGCAATATTCCAAAATCCCATTAGCTTTTTATTGCTAACTTGCGATGCTAACTTCCAAGTCGGCTTACAAAAAGACTGAAACTGCAGGTGATTTATAGACAGTTTTTCAGTAAGTCCTCCCTTGTCTTTGCAGTGACTCTCAGAAAGGCAGTGTGTTGACATTTGGTGGCGTCGACCCTAACCATTATTCTGGTCCCATCTCCTGGATCCCCCTCTCCCACGAGCTGTACTGGCAGATCACAGTGGACAGGTGAAGAACCACAAACGCAGCATCACAAATCCTCCAGAAATCTCAAAAAACCAAAGTAATGCTGTAAGGATAAGTGTTCTGATGCATGCTGTTCTGTTTCTCTTTCAGTGTTACTGTCAATGGTGAGGTTGTGGCCTGTAATGGCGGCTGCCAGGCTATCATTGACACCGGTACTTCTCTGATTATTGGACCTCAGTGCAACAACATCAACAACAAAGTGGGAGCTACCAACAACAACGGAGACGTAAGTGCCCAAATGTTAAAGGATATTCCCGCAGCTTCTTGTTGTTGAAAGAACGGTACACAAAATGTAACTCTTTCCTCCATTTTTCTTTTGCTTCAGTACATGGTCAACTGCAACAGCATTGCCCAATTGCCTGATGTGACCTTCCACATCAACGGAGAGACCTTCACCATCCCAGGCTCTGGCTACGTCCGCGGGGTAAGATTTTCTGCTTGCCTGCCAGACACTTTACCTTAGTGATGCATGAATGAGTCGTATAACCCAGTAATGCTGACTCATTTCTGGATTTTAGGACTAATTTCTGCACCACTATCCTCCCTCGTCTCAAAGTAACTGGTTTTTTTAACGTGTTTATGGTTGTTAGCCTGAAATAAGGTCTGTGGTTACAACCCAGTCTCACAGCATTTCGTGTTATAGTCATGAAATTAATTTAATGTATTGATTCGTGTTCACCAACACGATTTTTGAATTTTTTTCGTGTCACACAGAACGATTTTAAAAGCAATGTATTTCTATTGGTAGTATGTTTCGTGCCTGCACCACGTCTTTTTGTCCGGTCGGGTCTTGGAATACCAGAAGCTGTGGGGTTCATAAAAACATTTTCTTACTCAATATCTTACCCTAAGCCTAACCCTATCCCTTTTATTTTAAATTGTAAAATGTCGGAGTTTTTTTGCCGTCTGCGAGGAAAAGAAATGACTCAGAGCCTCAGAATACTGAAATCTGTATTTTTTTAAATCTCTTTTTCTAATTTGTTATTATTTGGTGCAGGCACGAAACATACTACCAATAGAAATACATTGCTTCTAAATTCGTTCTGTGTCAGAATACTGAAATATGTATTTTTTAAATCTATTTTTACTTCAAATTTGTTATTATTTACATTGCTTTTAATATCGTTCTGTGTGACTCGAAAAAAAATGCGAAAATCATGTTGGTGAACACGAATCAATAGATTAATTTCGTGACTATAACACGAAATGCCGTGAAACTGTGTTGGTGGTTAACACAAGATGAAGAGATTTTTATTTTACGACATAAAATACGTCAGTAAATACCCCACTGGTGAATTAAAAAAATTGTGGATGCTAACAAGTGTGTAAATGAGACGACTAAACGTCATCACGTCCACCATTAACCGCCTTTAGCTTAGCGGTGGTGATGTGAAGTCATGTGACTGTGCTCTAGTTCCTTTATAGCCCAACATTAGCCACCTTTAGCTTATCAGTGGTGACGTGAAGTCATGTGACCGTGCTATAGTTCCTTTATAGCCCAACATTAGCCGCCTTTAGCTTAGCGGTGGTGACGTGAGGTCATGTGACCGTGGTCTAGTTCCTTTATATCCCAACATTAGCCACCTTTAGCTTATCAGTGGTGACGTGAAGTAATGTGACCGTGCTATAGTTCCTTTATAGCCCAACATTAGCCGCCTTTAGCTTAGCGGTGGTGACGTGAAGTCATGTGGCCGTGCTGTAGTTCCTTTATAGCCCAACATTAGCCACCTTTAGCTTAGCGGTTGTGATGTGAAGTCATGTGACCGTGCTATAGTTCCTTTATATCCCAACATTAGCCACCTTTAGCTTAGCGGTGGTGACGTGAAGTCATGTGACTGTGCTGTAGTTCCTTTATAGCCCAACATTAGCCACCTTTAGCTTATCGGTGGTGACGTGAAGTCATGTGACCGTGCTATAGTTCCTTTATATCCCAACATTAGCCACCTTTAGCTTAGCGGTGGTGACGTGAAGTCATGTGACCGTGCTATAGTTCCTTTATAGCCCAACATTAGCCGCCTTTAGCTTAGCGGTGGTGACGTGAAGTCATGTGGCCGTGCTGTAGTTCCTTTATAGCCCAACATTAGCCACCTTTAGCTTAGCGGTTGTGATGTGAAGTCATGTGACCGTGCTGTAGTTCCTTTATATCCCAACATTAGCCACCTTTAGCTTAGCGGTGGTGACGTGAAGTCATGTGACTGTGCTGTAGTTCCTTTATAGCCCAACATTAGCCACCTTTAGCTTATCGGTGGTGATGTCAAGTCATGTGACCGTGCTGTAGTTTATCTAATGGAAAGAAACCATTGGCTTGTTGTTGAGGGAACCAGGGAGATGCTAGTTTCTAGGTTGGTGTACAGAAATACATCCGCCCTGCACTATTTTGTACTTCCCCCTCCATCTGAAACTCTTCTCTTTCCACAGTCTGAGGCCAATGGCTGCCGTACTGGCTTCGTTAATGGAGGAGGCAACCTCTGGATCCTGGGAGACGTCTTCATCAGACAGTACTACGCCATCTTCAGCAGAGCCCAGAACATGGTGGGTCTGGCCACGGCTAGATGAGAAACCTGGAGTCACTCCTACCAACATCTTTAAATCAATCACATGTGCATCTCAGTTAGTGTTAATTTCGTTGACTAAAACTATGACGAAATATGTTCGTCAACGACCTTTTTTTCCATGACTAAAACGAGACGATGACGAGACGGCAGTAAACAATAACTGTAATGAAATCATCATGCAATATCGTTGACGAAAAGTGACCAGACGAAAATGTAGTTTACTAAATAAAAACTTTGCCAAAATCTCTCTTTACTTTCGTTGACGAAAAAGGAGGAGACGAAATATTATCAAAGATAACGTTACATCTCTGATAGTCAGTTTTTCTCCCAGCAGTTCCATTTCCGGTGCTGCGGCTGGGCAGCAGCTGTGTGTCTGTGCTGCGTGCGGCGGCACATTTGCATACCTGCCAACGCTACCGATTTGGCCGGTAGTCTACCGCTTTTGACATGTTTCTACCGCCTACCGACTTAGCTGGCTTTCCCTACCGATTTTCAATCTTCCCAAACTATAACAAATACAAATGACACTACATAGACACTGGACTCGACTTTTTGGCGGCCACCGTTTGCAGCGTGTCTGTGATCCCATCATACAAACAGTCCCCTGTGTTTCTGAAAGAGAAACAACGTGCAGAGGAAAGGCAACGTTAACCCCTGGGCTGATGGGTAATCACTCCCAAATGAGTTAAGGCAGTGGTTCTCAAAGTGGGGGGCGCAGAGGCATGACAGGGGGGGCGCGAGAGACCAGGAGGAAAAATGGTTATTTAAAAAAATTAATAAAAATTAATCATATTTTGAACAATTATTGATTCGAAAATAATATGATACAGTAATATTACGGCTGGGTCTCTGTGTTTCATTAAAGCTCAGCTGTGTGTGTGTGTGTGTGTGTGTGTGTGTGTGTGTGTGTGTGTGTGTGTGTGTGTGTGTGTGTGTGTGTGTGTGTACCTATCTAGAGGAAAATACCTTGATATTAGAGTAAACACATGATAACACGGCAGCAAACACTCTTACTGAATATCACGTGCATAGGTGGTCATTCTAACATTAAACCAAATTAAATATGTAATAAGTTTAACTTCATGCATTGAAATATGAATGATGGGCAGTTTTTGTTCCATAGCTTCATGATTATAACATTATATGCACTTTGCAGAAAATATAGCTAAGACAAAGCATATTTCTAACATATTTCAGACTCCCTTTTGTCTTCTGGTCAAATCTGACTCTTTCCTACGTGTTGTTTTGTCGGAAAAAGGGCTTTTTTTCAGCTAATTGCTGCAAAAATAACATGTTTTATTGAACATTATAGAAACACTTTTTCTGACATTTTCAACACCGAACATGTCGTTAAAGTCTCTGTTTAGTGAACTACAGCAATCTGAAAGCCTGTTCATTATTTATATCACACTTTATCAGTAGAACAATGCAGGAAATGACTTTTTGAATGCAGTGTTTTCTGATGTGTGGCGCAACACAAAGATATTTCGCTCTGTGCAAACCTTTGACTCTAATATGTCAACAACATGAAACAAGAATATGAACCTGGCTTTATCCAATGTTCACACAAGAGTTCTACATCCTGACACATCCTTCATCTACACTGTCTCAACTGAAAGAGGACCAGAAACACATTAAAAATATAATAAAATGTGACATTTTCGGGCAGTTTACAGACAAACTACCACTTTTTCTGAAAAATGCATAAAATGATGCAATATATGTTAAATACATGGTTTATACATGTAATTACTCGGGTTCCATTTCTTCTGATTACCTCATTTGGTCGTGCACATTTGCCGCACGCAAACCTACCTCTTTTGGATTTGGAAAGGATGGCATGTATGCATTTGAATTACACCGGGCAGCATTGTTCATAGCACACTATGAACAGTCAGGAAGACTCGGATCTAACTACCCTTATTTAACAGAAAATAAAATGGCAACAACAGGGCTTGGGAGCAGTGGTCGCGTTAACCGAATACCCCCCCCCCCCCCCGTCAGCGCGAGTGAGGGATGAGTTGTGTACAGACTCGACGGGTAATAACGGATTATGACGGAAATGTTACGATCCTGTCCGTCAAAATGACTGACAACGAAAAAGTCTAACGCCACCACTGCCTGGGAGAAAGAAACGAGGCGATATTTGGGCCCATGTTCGCTAAAATGAGGCAGAGAAAAAAAGTGAATGCATTGTTTTATCAGAAGGGAAGCAATGTGGCCATAAAACTGCTGGTAAAAACACCACAAACCTGACCAGATACTCTCTGCAAAGCTGCATTCTTAATCATTCAACCTGTGTTGTTCATCAAATAAGGACAACATGTAATCTTATTGTGAAATAGGTTTGACTAAAATGACAAATTATTGATTTTGGCTAGCCTAGACTAGTTTGACTGAAATATTCTATTTAATCTGATGACTTAAAAAGACTCAAATGTCAACAGTTTTCATTGACAAAAAGAAGACTAAAATAGTTAGTTTATACTTTGACTAAAACAAGACTAAAATGCTCAGACTTTTAGTCGACTGAATCTTGACCAAAATAGTTAGTTTTCTTTGACTAAAATAAGACTAAAACTTGACTAAATAAAAACAGCATGAAGGTGACTAAATATGACTAAAACTAAAACGGACATTTGACACAGGACTAAGACTACGACTAAATAAAAAAAATAGCTGACAAAATTAACACTAATCTCAGTGTTATATAGTAGGAATTACAAAATGCCTGAGACGCAAATCTTTTCCCTGTCCGAAATATGATTATATTTCCTCATATCCAATAAAGAGAGTTCAATCTAATTGACTGGTGTTTTTCTAAAATGTACAATAAATAAACATGACACACACTTTTAAGTGAAGACATAGACACATGAATATTTGATGATATGGATTTGATTTTAAGATTATTTAAAGGTATGTTTGCCTTTAAGTTTCAACAGTCACATTAAAACAGTTACTAAATCAGCCTACTATCACCTAAAGAATATATCTAGGATTAAAAGACTAATGTCACAGCAGGATTTGGAAAAACTTGTCCATGCTTTTATCTTCAGTAGACTCGACTACTGCAATGGTGTCTTCACAGGTCTCACTAAAACATCTATTAGGAAGCTGCAGCTGATTCAGAACGCCGCTGCTCGAGTCCTCACTAACACTAAGAAAGTGGATCACATCACTCCTGTTCTGAAGTCTTTACACTGGCTTCCTGTGTGTCAAAGAATAGATTTCAAAATACTGCTGCTGGTTTATAAAGCACTGAATGGTTTAGGCCCAAAATACATTTCTGACCTCCTGCTAAATGATGAACCATCCAGATCTCTCAGGTCTTCAGGGACTGGTCAGCTTTCTGTCCCCAGAGTCAGAACTAAACATGGAGAAGCAGCGTTCAGTTATTATGCTCCAAATATCTGGAACAAACTCCCAGAAACCTGCAGGTCCGCTGCAACTCTGACTACTTTTAAATCCAGACTGAAGACTTTTCTTTTTGCCGCTGCTTTTAATTGAACTATTCATATCTTAGACTGCACTGTAACTTTTATCCATGTATTTTTTCTTTTAATGTTTATTTTATTAGATTTTAAATGCCATTTCCAATGTCTTTCATTTTTTGTAAAGCACTTTGAATTGCCTTGTGTTGAAAAGTGCTATATAAATAAACGTGCCTTGTCTTGCCTTTATTTGACCGATGACAGGGTATAAATGAGGGATGGAAAGAGATATAACATGCAAATCATTTACTAAGCCTGGAATCAAACTTGGGACAAGAAGCTTAATGTTTGATTAAACAATCACCAATCAGTCAATGAGTCACAAAGATTTAGGTTGACAGTAAAGTTTGAAGCTTACTGTAATAAAACCTGTATTTATTAAGAGACTACATCTTGGTTTTGGTCAATAACTTTGTCTGACCAGTGGCGAGCCATGACTTACCTAGGCCAGGGATGGGCAAATGGTGGCCCTCTTTTTGCGGCCCTCAGATTAATTTATAAACAACGTAATTAATTAAAAATATATATTTTTGAATTGTTTTACTTGTAGTACTGATACCGTCCACTAGACTCCTAGTTACGTCGCGAGCTGCGTACATGATTTCAAATACCGCGAAATAATCTGTGACGCATTTGTGTGTATTGTGTGTTTGTTTCCCGGGGAAACCCTCACAAGAAACACCGGCTGTTGTTATGCCTGCTGTGACGTTAAGTTGCCTCATGTAATTATGCCTTTACAAGCTTAAAAGTTTTATTTATCATCTGAATTTGGCGAAACAAGTTTAATATTCTAAAAACCAAGACTTTGTTTATTTGAAATCAGATTAAAACAAACTCTCACGGACCCTAACAACAATAGCTGGGGATTGTGGGTAGTGTAGTCTCTTTGGCGCTCCACATTTCAGAGAAAACAAGTTGTTTCTCGGAACTGAAGGGGAAAAACACAAAAGCATTGAACATAATTTAAACCTATGTCGTTTAATTGACAAAGATAATATGGTGTTTTTGAGTTGATGAGTAGTGGAGATATCACTGTCAAATCAATCGACAGTAAGATAATACTTACTTCCGGGTAATTCTCCGTTATCCAATGGGAATGGACGCTCACATTGCCTTTAAGAGCTGCCGACATAAATGGGTGCGGTGCTTCCATGAGCGTCAAATACCGCCGCCGATGGGAATACATTGCAATCAGTTGAAAGCTCTTTGTGTCCGTTTGTGACGCTGAAGGAGCCTCGGCGCGTCACAACTGCACGCCACGGGACCCTGACCAAGCGTCCCTCCTGGACGCTTAGGGAGTGAGAGGGTGTTGGTGTAGTTAATAAAACATAATAATATCAAACATAATGTGACTAATAACGTTATTGTGAAATTAAAACAGAACGGTAAAGGAAAATACAGTTTCAGTCTCTCGATTTGAAGCTTATGCATCGTACCATGAACCTGTATAGACCTGTAACAGTCAACTGCATGAGGAGCTGGAAAGGTAGTGAATAATATCTTTAAAAACTACAAAAACTTTCTATCAGCTGTGCACCGTTATGGTGTAAATACAGCCTATATACCAATTGGATCAAATATAAAAGTCAGCCGAATTAGTGTTGATACTGCAAGGAGTAGTGGCGGCGCCAGAGATTTTCTCTAGGGGGTGCTGTGGGGTAGCTTGACGTTTCATAGAGGGTGCTCAAACATTAAGGGTTTCCCATTAATGCACCAGCGCTACAGTGGAATTTTCTACTGCAACACTCCCCACACACACACACAATGTTCCCGCGACTGTTACAATGAAGGCTCGGTAATCAGCTCACGGCATATAAGCAGGGGTAAAGTGCTATTTTTTACAAGTGGTGAGTGGACCTCACCTCCTCTAGGAGGGTCCTCACCTCCTCTAGTGGGAAGATTTTTTTTTAAATATTGAAGTTAAAAGCATCAATCTGGTGCACTTTGAGAGACACAATGAAGAGATCTATGGATATACTGTATCTCTCAACATACATATGAAACAGAACTGTAAACAGATTTTCTATTTCTTTATAGATATTTTACAAATCACTCCCCTTTTAAAACAAACCGTTTGAGACCCACTGAGATAACTAGACTAAAGTTAACTATCTAAACACTGAGAGTCCTTTACTTCACCTGAGCTGAGGTTATCTGAGACTCTCAGTCTGACAGGAGAGAGTTCTTGAAAAAGCTCCTTATATCCGTTAGCTTGGCTAGCTAGCACCAGATGCTAACCACAACGATCTCCGGTAGATACCCACCGGTGCGCGAGCTCTCTCTCTCGCTCGCTTGCGCACGCACACAAAATGGCTCGTGCCACACACACACAGAGCAGAGCTTGAATGAAACAGACCCAGGCCAGAAGTAAGCTACTTGTACTCACGAGGCCTATTATGTGCAGAATCCCTCGCTTTCAGGTGGTTTTGATTGAGTGTCCACACGTGGACGTTTAAAGACTAAAAAACGATCCATTTGTCACTTTGCTGTTAGCAAACCATTTGGGGCTCCAGCTAACAGGAAGTCACTCAAGTGTCACAAAGTAATTTAGCCTATGGGTAGGTCAAAAATCAAATGGGTGCTGGCCATTGGCCTAATCATATCACCTGTGTTGGATTTATGTTTTTGGTCAAACATTTATTTGTTTCACATTTGCATTGATGTAATCAATAATTTTTCTGATTTAATTTAATAAAAATAATAATAATTTTCGGGAGAAAAAAAAAAAACATATTTCTTAGGGGTGCTTAGGGGGTGCTTTGGCAATCCTGGGGGGTGCTTCAGCACCCCCTAGCTCCCCCCTGGCGCCGCCCCTGGCAAGGAGACGTATTGTGTGAAAAGAAATGGAAGATGTTGTTTAATTGCTGATATATTTATGATCCACGTCACGTTTTCAGTTTTGGCGGCAGTTCTTCCAGTTTGTCAAAAGGTCTTCTGATCAGGGCTCTATAAATAAATATCTACGGCAGATATGTAATATTTAATACAGCCGAACCGTGTGTTACAATGCCGTTATGTGATGACTTCCAAAGAGAAAAGCAAGAACACTCGGAATAAAGTATTATTTTATTTAAAAAACATGTTTTTCCGATTTCATATCGGATAAACACCAAATCCCGACATGCATTGCGGCAATTTTTTAGCCTATCAAAACCTCTGAAAAAAGAAAGGTGTCTCTCAGAATCGAAAGAGAAAAACCTATGGGAAAAACACAAAAGCATTGTACACAATTTAAACCAATTAATGTCGTATAATTAACAAGGATAAACTGATGTTTTTTAGTTGAGTACTGCAGATATCACGGTTAAATCATTTGATCATTGGTTTTATTAGGAAAACGTCAAGACCGGAAATACTGTTTTCAACCGGTAATTTTATTATGCTGCCGCATACCTCAAATCATCTTCGTAATATCTATCAAACTATAGATCCTACATATCGACTGGACGTGGATTCTAAAAGTACAATATATACTTCTCGCTAGAAATCTAATCAAAAAGCGTTTTAATGGCCAAACTATCCTACAATTTAGGATTTTACAGAGAGGGTTATTTGTGAATAAACGACCATCTGTAACGTTTGCATTCAACGGGAGCACTAGAGGGTGAACACTTTAAAACGTAATTATAGGTCGTATTAAGCGCTTGAAAAAACAACATATTTGGTCGTAATAAGGGCCTGAACAATCGGCCCATTTGGTCGTATGAGTTGGAGGACTTGTTGAAATAAAGCCCACCCATTTAGAGGGAAGATATGATTGGTCAATTGTACTGTCATTTGACATTACTCTCTCTTTGAGTTACTGAATTACTGTGAATTTACAGCAGGACCACCAATCAGCTCCTGTCTTCACATAACTCGCAGAGAAGGCTAAAGGAGCTTCTTTCATTTAACCCTTCACATTCAAACAGAAACAGAACAGACAGATTCGAAGGATTTATTTCTTTGGAAATGTTATTTTAAATACAATTAAATCAAGTTATTTTGGTAAAACTAATGAAAAATATAAATAAAAAAAGATTGAAAAAAGGAAATATTATAACGTTTTCAAATATAATTGTTTTGAATATCTTAGGCCCTCAGAGAGGAGTCTGACTGACTCACAATCTTGTAGAGTTTATCTCATTGCCATTCTTAACTGTATTAAAAGTTATACCAAGTCTGTAGCGACATAAAATACAGGCATTAAGTGAGATCCAAAGACACACCTAAAACTACCTCTCAGTGCCAAATGTGTCACCAAAACAAACAAAAGTGAGTGCATGCTAATGGTATGAGGAAGGACTTCATATTAGCTTCTTCAAACATTCCTCATCTCATCATGCCTACAAAAACCTGCTGGACAACTACAGATGACCTCTTTTATCACACTGCCATTGTGAGGTGGACACGGCAGCCTTGAGCTTATGATAATACAAGTACTTGGTATACTTCTGCACTTTCACATGTGAGGTTATAACGAACTGAAGGAAAGCTGGGAGTCATCTTGGCAGAGTAAGTTGCATTTCTTTAATGGCTATACGTGTTTTATTTTTTATTTTATGGCAAACAAATCAATGTAAGCTACAAAATAAGAGAGGGGGAAGACGTACTCAGATTTATGACTTAAGTAAAAGTAGAAAGTCCTGAATTCAACATGTTACTAAAGTAGAAGTACATACGTATTATCAGATAAATGTACACAAGAGCTCTCTTCACAGTATTTTATTATTATAGAATATCCTATTATCCTGGCTTTATAAATACCGATTTAAATTTTGTAGTTGTTCAAAGTAGAGCCAATTTACTAACATACTGGGTATATTGGTAGTACAGTACTACATCTTGTCATTTATCATGTGTTTTCAGATGTAAAAAGGGTTAAATAAATGTAGAAGTATTCAGTGCAGTGTATAAGTAGAGAACTTGGGTAAATGTACTTAGTTACAATTGCAAACGAATGCATTGTTAAGAGGTTAAGGGTTGACTTTCAGGTTTCTGTTGTAGACATAGAGAGGACAATGTCTGCACAAAAAGGCCGAAGTGAAGACAGGAGCTACACTGACTGGATGTCACAACTTCCTCCAGAGCTCCACAATAATCCTCTCCATAATCTGACCATACCAGGTATGAAGCTGCTTACATTGTTAATGCAACATGACAGTGTACAGTACATCAGAATTATCATATTGTTGTTATTTTGGAAGAAGAGCATTGTTTAAGACGTCATGCACAAGTGCATGGTGATTTCTCCTCGCAGAATCAGAAATATAACAACAGATGTCATTTGTTCTACTCTTTAATCTCTTGAAGGGGCCCTACTCTGCTCATTCTCAGGTTCATAATTGTGTGTTTGTTATTTCCTAGGAAGCCACGACTCGATGAGTTATGACTTGGACCTCAGCTCTGCTATAATAGAACCGGATGGCCTGAAAAAACTGAGCAAAATGTACTGCGTGCGGAAAATACTGTACAAATGGGCGAGGACTCAGGTAAAATGTGGTTAAAACCTGTCTTTGTGTGTTAACAAAATAAAGAAAAGAGTGTTTGTTTGACTTTGTTATGGCTTGTGATGCAGGAGGAGAGCATCTTGAAGCAGCTGAATGCAGGAGTTCGGTACTTTGACCTGAGGATCGCTCGAAAGGACAACGACCCCGACCCCAACCGACTTTACTTTTATCACGGACTGTTAACACAAACTGATGTGGAGGTAAGGATGGAAACGTCATACATGACAATAAGAACATTGCCTCTTTTCTTTATGTATACGTCAATACATAGTTAGGAGGAAATAAACCCATGGTCATACGCAGTGCTTCTCAAAGTGTGGTCCGCGGACCACTGGTGGTCCGTAAGCGCCCCCCTAGTGGTCCGTGAGTATATTAGTAACATTTCACATTTGAAATAAATAAATACATTTAAGTTTTCCGCACTCTCGCGGGAATATCTCCGCAATGGAGCGAGCTTAAGTTTCACTTTTGATTGCATGATATAGCCCAGTGCAACACCTTCGTCACACATGTTACCACCTGTTTGTACCATTTCCAGGCGATTTGTAATCTGTTCTAGAAAAACCATGTGTTTTTTTATATTTGTGGAGTTAGGTGGTCCGCGAGTGTTTTTTTATTGGTTAAGTGGTCCATGGTATGAAAACGTTTGAGAAACACTGTCATAGGTGATATCAGGATTGTTAAAGCTTCCAAGATATAAATTTTGGAGCAATCAAATCAAAAAGCATTTACCTTTAACATCCACATCTCTCCATGAGATAGTCTCCAGTGTCAGAACAAAACATGCAGAAGCTGCTATGCTCCAAAGTTCTGAAATTATCTTCTTCAACATCTGAGGTTTTCCCAAAACCCTGAGTTTTTTTCTTTTTAATTCAAGGCTAAAAACATTTCTGGTTACCGCATCTTTTCAATTATTTTATCATAGTTCTGCACCTCTCGGAGTATCAATTATATTTGCAATGGTTTTCAACTGGGCCTTAATTGAGTCATGACCGAAAAAACAATATCGAATATAAGCAGCCGAAATGTTCCGTTATTGAATTGAATGTGTATTAAAAACGACCATTTCCCCCGGTGACAGACTATCCTCAGGGTGATGAACGACTGGGCAGAGAGGCATCCCAAAGAGATCCTCATCCTCAGTTTCTCCCACTTTAAAGGCTTCGTCAAACGGTACGAAGATCAGCTGCACTGCCATCTCATCAACTTCATCAAGACGCTGTTTGGAGCCAAACTCTGCAAAAGGGTTAAGTATCCTGAAACTGTCCATTAAAACCAGACATATTTAAAACACCTAAAGTCAGTAGGTAGATAGATAGATAGATGGATGGATGGATGGATAGATAGATAGATGGATGGAGAGATAGATAGATAGATAGATGGATGGATGGATAGATGGATGGATAGATAGATAGATAGATAGATGGATGGATATATAGATAGATGGATGGATGGATGGATGGATAGATAGATAGATGGATGGAGAGATAGATGGATGGAGAGATAGATAGATAGATAGATGGATGGATATATAGATAGATAGGTAGGTAGGTAGGTAGGTAGGTGGTCGGTCGGTCGGTCGGTCGGTCGGTCGGTCGGTCGGTCGGTCGGTCGGTCGGTCGGTCGGTAGATAGATAGATAGGGTTAGATAGATAGATAGATAGATAGATAGATAGATAGATAGATAGATAGATAGGGTTAGATAGATAGGGTTAGATAGATAGATAGATAGATAGATGGATAGATAGATAGATAGATAGATAGATAGATAGATAGATGGATGGATAGATAGATAGATGGATGGATAGATAGATAGATAGATAGATAGATGGATAGATAGATAGATAGATAGATAGATAGATAGATAGATAGATAGATAGATAGATAGATAGATAGATAGATAGATAGATAGATAGATAGATAGATAGATAGATAGATAGATAGATAGATAGATAGATAGATAGATAGATAGATAGATAGATAGATAGATAGATAGATAGATAGATAGATAGATAGATAGATAGATAGATAGATAGGCAAGGCAAGGCAAGGCAAGTTTATTTATATAGCACTTTTCAACACAAGGCAATTCAAAGTGCTTTACAAAAAATGAAAGAGATTAAGAAAATGGCATTTAAAATCAGTCATTAAAAAGAAAAGCTAATAAAATAAACATTAAAAGAAAAAATACATGGCAGTCAATTAAACATTAAAAGAAAAAAGTACATGGATAAAGTTACAGTGCAGTCTAAGATATGAATAGTTCAATTAAAAGCAGCGACAAAAGAAAAGTCTTCAGCCTGGATTTAAAAGTAGTCAGAGTTGCAGCGGACCTGCAGGTTTCTGGGAGTTTGTTCCAGATATTTGGAGCATAATAACTGAACACTGCTTTACCATGTTTAGATAGATAGATAGATAGATAGATAGATAGATAGATAGATAGATAGATAGATAGATAGATAGATAGATAGATAGATAGATAGATAGATAGATAGATAGATAGATAGATAGATAGATAGATAGATAGATAGATAGATAGATAGATAGATAGATAGATAGATAGATAGATAGATAGATAGATAGATAGATAGATAGATAGATAGATGGATAGATAGATAGATACTTTATTGATCACAATTTGGGAAATTCTTTCGTCACAGAAGCAAAAGTGTGTTCACACTTTATAATACAATACTTAAAATACTTTAAAAAGTGGAAAAGAGAATTAAGAATTCAAATGAAAATGAAACATATTATATCAAATATAAACAAAACAACATATAATATTCTGTATATTTAAATAAAAAAGTCGAAAATACAAAAGGGTCCAAAATACTACAGGTCTTTTATAAGAAACATAAGTAACATTTGTCATGTGTTCAAACAGTACCCCTTCCCCACCCTGAAGAGCTGCTGGGAAAACGGGACCAACGTCATCATCTCGTACGACTATCCTGCAAATATGCACCAGGAGATATGGGGCAAAATACCTTATTACTATGGCAACAGTATGGACATCACAAAAGTTGAAACCAAACTTTGTTGTGTTCTGGAAAGGGACAGACCCTACCAGTGTGAGTGCTCCATTTTCTTCTGGCTAAATATGTGTTTTTTTATTGGGTTTATTGGCTGCATGCTTTTGGGGGTTCTCCCTTTCCTGTAGTGTGTTTAGGTGTAGGTTTTAGTGCATGTAAATGGTCTGCAAAGGCTAATATCCCAAAGTTCCCTCAAGAGGGAGTTTCTCTAAAGGCAGTATGAGACAAATCAAGAGCTTTTTGAACATTAAAGCATGGAGACATGTCACAGTAGAGACACTACATACTGATATACACCTGGACATCAGCAGGAGAGGACTCTTTAAAGTAGAGACACTACATAGTGATATACACCTGAACATCAGCAGGAGAGGACTCTTTAAAGTAGAGACACTACATACTGATATACATCTGGACATCAGCAGGAGAGGACTCTTTAAAGTAGAGACACTACATAGTGATATACACCTGAACATCAGCAGGAGAGGACTCTTTAAAGTAGAGACACTACATACTGATATACATCTGGACATCAGCAGGAGAGGACTCTTTAAAGTAGAGACACTACATACTGATATACACCTGAACATCAGCAGGAGAGGACTCTTTAAAGTAGAGACACTACATACTGATATACACCTGGACATCAGCAGGAGAGGACTCTTTAAAGTAGAGACACTACATACTGATATACACCTGAACATCAGCAGGAGAGGACTCTTTAAAGTAGAGACACTACATACTGATATACATCTGGACATCAGCAGGAGAGGACTCTTTAAAGTAGAGACACTACATAGTGATATACACCTGAACATCAGCAGGAGAGGACTCTTTAAAGTAGAGACACTACATACTGATATACATCTGGACATCAGCAGGAGAGGACTCTTTAAAGTAGAGACACTACATACTGATATACACCTGAACATCAGCAGGAGAGGACTCTTTAAAGTAGAGACACTACATACTGATATACACCTGGACATCAGCAGGAGAGGACTCTTTAAAGTAGAGACACTACATACTGATATACACCTGAACATCAGCAGGAGAGGACTCTTTAAAGTAGAGACACTACATACTGATATACACCTGAACATCAGCAGGAGAGGACTCTTTAAAGTAGAGACACTACATACTGATATACACCTGAACATCAGCAGGAGAGGACTCTTTAAAGTAGAGTCACTACATACTGATATACACCTGAACATCAGCAGGAGAGGACTCTTTAAAGTAGAGACACTACATACTGATATACATCTGAACATCAGCAGGAGAGGACTCTTTAAAGTAGAGACACTATATACTGATATACACCTGAACATCAGCAGGAGAGGACTCTTTAAAGTAGAGACACTACATACTGATATACACCTGGACATCAGCAGGAGAGGACTCTTTAAAGTAGAGACACTATATACTGATATACACCTGAACATCAGCAGGAGAGGACTCTTTAAAGTAGAGACACTATACTGATATACACCTGGATATCAGCAGGAGAGGACTCTTTAAAGTAGAGACACTATATACTGATATACACCTGAACATCAGCAGGAGAGGACTCTTTAAAGTAGAGACACTACATACTGATATACACCTGAACATCAGCAGGAGAGGACTCTTTAAAGTAGAGACACTACATACTGATATACACCTGAACATCAGCAGGAGAGGACTCTTTAAAGTAGAGTCACTATATACTGATATACACCTGAACATCAGCAGGAGAGGACTCTTTAAAGTAGAGACACTACATGCTGATATACACCTGAACATCAGCAGGAGAGGACTCTTTAAAGTAGAGACACTACACACTGATATACACCTGAACATCAGCAGGAGAGGACTCTTTAAAGTAGAGACACTACATACTGATATACACCTGAACATCAGCAGGAGAGGACTCTTTAAAGTAGAGACACTACATGCTGATATACACCTGAACATCAGCAGGAGAGGACTCTTTAAAGTAGAGACACTACACACTGATATACACCTGAACATCAGCAGGAGAGGACTCTTTAAAGTAGAGACACTACATACTGATATACACCTGAACATCAGCAGGAGAGGACTCTTTAAAGTAGAGACACTACATACTGATATACACCTGAACATCAGCAGAATAGGTCCCCTTTAATTATATATGTGGACCCATTATCCTGTGTCTCTATTTCTCAAATAACATATAGTCAGCCACACAGTGCAAAGTTACTAATCCTTAATCTCCTGCATGATAATTCAAAGATGTTTTAAAATTATATTGTGTTCCATGTATAACACTCAAACCACCTGTATGACCTGCAGGTCTGTTTGTGTGTGGGCTGAACCTCACTCTGCCAGAAGACCACAAAATCCTCAAGTACATCTTCTTCAGGATGTGGGACAACCTGGCCAAAGTCATCGAGAGGAGTCTTCCTCGGCTGCTGCACTGGGTCTCACAGCAGGGGGCCAAAACTCCCATGAACATCGTGGCCTCGGACGTGGTGACTCAAGACGGATTTGTCGCCACCGTCGTCCAGCTAAACACTCAGAAACATGTGAAAGCATAGGGCAGTGTGTTGCATTTTGTCTTTTTTTAAAGGATCTTTTAAAAAGTTGATCTTTGCTACAAAAAAAATGCCATACAATTATATATTATTTGTATTTTTGTTCACTTCAAATGAGGGAAATGTTAATCCAACTTAAGTCCTGATCAGCACTACCAAAACAATTCTTAATTATCTGATTTTATTACTATGTAAATGGCAGTTTGTTTATAAAATACCACTGTTGTCCAGCTCAACACTCAGAAACATGTGAAGGCATTTTATTTTTAAGAATATTTGAAAAAGTTGCTCCGTCTTAAATCTTTGCTGCAAAAAAAAGCCATAAAATGATAATTTAATTGCACTTTTTTCACTTGCAATTAGTTAAATGTTAATCTAACTTCAGTCCTGATCAGCACTGCAAAACAATCTTAATTATCTGATTTTATTACTATTTAAATGGCAGTTTGTTTATAAAATACCACTGTTGTCCAGCTCAACACTCAGAAACATATGATAGTATAGGGGAGTGTGATGCTATTTTTGTAAAATTTAATTTTCTTAAATGTTTTATGTGAGGGACTGCGGATCGAAATGAGCTAAAAGCTAAATCTGGTGCTGTTACGCTTGACACATTTTAATGTTTTAAGTGTTCATTACTGTGCATTGTCCCTTCCAAATAAACGATTAAATTATAAATGCATTTTGTCTTTGTATTGTCTGAAAAATGTGCTCCGTCCTGAATCTTTGCTGCAAAATAAAAGAAGTTATTTTTCACTTCCAAATGAAAAAAGTTAAATGTTAATCTAACTTAAATCCTGATCAGCATTACCAAACACTTCTTAATTATCTTGATTTTATTACTATTTAAATAGCAGCTTGTTAAAATACCACTGTTGTTTTAATTAAATATAATATCACACACGCAATTTAAAAAATATATTTTCCGTGGTATTTTTGATTTTCTTTCACAGTCTGTGATATCTCAATGAATACAAACAATATAGCTTTTGAATGCATCTAATGAATGCATTGAATGCATCTAATGTGCAGAGTCAGATATTCCTGTCTGTATGACTGAATTGTAAATAATTTAAAACTATATATTTATTATCATGCGCTTTTTTATTTTTCGTGTGTGCAGGAATCCATGAAAATAGCATATAGCTGCATTATAGGCAAACAGGGAAACATCTGGTGTAAAACATACATATTTAAAATGCATAACAACATGTTTTAATGACCAGGGGACATTCAATTGTGCTTTAATGGGGATGTTTTTGTCCTTAAGAGTCTGATTGTGTCCATATTTGTCATAGAAACTACGGTTGAGCTTCCAAAATATAAAATATAAAACATATTCTTGCAAAATGCACTGCAAATATTCAGCAACAATGATTCAAATCTCTCTATCAATCAATGTTTCCCCCCTCAAATACATTATGTAGATTCATACGATACGATAATACTTTAATGGTCAGATCAAGTCTGAAATGTGACTTGCATCACTGCAGCTACATGTGTAAAATCAACAGGCACACAATACATGAAAAAAACCTAACAAACATTTAACCAAACATCAAAAACACTGAGAGAAAACCTGCTCAGTGTTTGTGATGTTATATTAATGTTTGTTTAAATACATTATGTTGATTCTCCCCCAACCATTGATGCCTTACTTCTTCACACACTGATTGTTTCGCATGTTTAAACCTGTTGGCTCCTCCTGGTATTGCAATAACATGGACACCTCCATGCATGGAAGTTTTGCCTGCCCTCTTTAAATGAAGTGGCTAACCCTAACCTGCTAAAGTCACACTCTTGCAGGATTAGGATGATAACACTGGCATGGCGTCGCTCAGCCTGCAGGAATAACCGTGTGGATTCTGCTGCTGCTCGGCTTTTAGCTGCACCTTTTCTGGCATCGGAGAGACCTCTGCGGAACTCAGGGGGACATTTAAGGTGTTTCGGACTAATCCACCCCCGCCCACCAAGCATCAGATCCCCGCTGCACCACCACCAGCAGCCGGCCTACCACCGCAGGTAAAGCCTCCAAAGCTAACTGGTTGCTACACGTGCATTACTTTGTTGTAGCAAAGCATGCATGCATAATTTAAGCAACACAATGCATGGTAGGTCAAATATTGACAGGTGATATAATGCTCGTGTGGTAGTTGCTGTTTGTGCACGTGATTCGGACGAATATAAGTGTTGCACGAAACTCCCTTTAAAAACCACACAATTGAATATTCAATACACGTTTACTATTAGGAAAATACGTTCATTTGTCAGATAGGACATTGGAATAAGGTCTAAATGCATTGTCCGTTAATTCGGCTTTCACATAAGACCAAAGCAACCCTTTTCCTAATGATTTATCACCTTTTATATCTGGTTTGACGCGCTCAGCTAATGGCTAAATCAAAGCTAGCCCATTGACTTAGATGTAAACAAACTAATTGATATGTGACCATGTATCATATTCATTACAGCCGAATCTTAAGGCAAGGTATAATTAATGTTATTCTATGATTATTTGTGTTATTTAGGCCATAAGCAAATGCCTATAGGCAAAGTAAAGTTGAATTGTGTAATATTTGAATGGAGTTCGACATGCGTGACCTTTGGCTAACAGCGACAGTGTTTGACAGCTGTAGTATCTCCTTCAGCTAGCATGCAAACACGTGATAAGATGTTGTGTTGTGATAGTTGTAATGCTGGCAAACACATCTAATGTCAGACTATAAAGTGAAGTTGACCGTAAGCAAAGCTCCATGCTGTCAGATTCACGTGTACCTTTAATTAGTTGATATTAAACAGGCTATAATGGTTGCCCTTTCCTGTATTTGGATTATGACAACACTGCATCACACATTTTTTGACACTAGACAATATGACTTATGATTAGCAGGAAAAATACAAGTTATTGATTGCCAAATTTAACAATCCTGGTAAGGAAACAGTAGGCAAAAGTGCACGAAACAACACATCTGACTATAAACCTGATTTGATTGCAACCATTTCGAGAATCACTTATTAAACCTGTGCTTTTCCATGAGATGCAAAATATCTGCTATGTAGTTTATTATTGCACACATCCTCTGGACACAAGTCCTTTCTCAGTATTCAAATGACAAACACTATTTCAATCAAATGAAAAGTTTGTATAGCTTTTGCAGACCTTTAGACATTGTCGTCAACAAAGCGTGACTTTAACTGTGTGTGTGTGTGTGTGTGTGTGTGTGTGTGTGTGTGTGTGTGTGTGTGTGTGTGTGTGTGTGTGTGTGTGTGTGTGTGTGTGTGTGTGTGTGTGTGTGTGTGTGTGTGTGTGTGTGTGTGTGTGTGTGTGTGTGTGTGTGTGTGTGTGTGTGTGTGTGTGTCCAGATCATCAGTGTTTATGAGCATGGCGTCTGCTCACAAACACACCAACAGGCTGAGCTTGGAGAGGTCTCCCTACCTGCTGCAGCACGCTCACAACCCCGTGGACTGGTGAGCGAAACACATTACGTTTATTAAAAATAGTATAATGTCATATTTAATATATGTCTTTTTGTGTCAGGTATCCGTGGGGAAAAGAGGCTTTCGACAAGGCAAAGAGCGAAGACAAACCCATCTTTCTATCAGGTCAGAAGCAGCTCTCACACCTGGAATTAAAATGCATTTTATTGTGGACTTAATTTACTCTATTTGGTCAATTAATATAGCTTTATTTATTTAATATTTTAAAATAAAAAACACTCAGACCTAGATTTCTTAGGAGTAAGTGTTATGTTAAGTTCCATTTTTAATATTTAATAAGGTATTTATTACCTTAATGTTTATTTCAGATTTATTGAGATATATTTAAGGTATGTATATTTCAGTTTGTTTTTAATTTCAGATTCATAGATACCAATTACTGTGAGTTTAATTTTCTGTTTAAAACTGAATTTGTATATGTCTATTATTTTGAGTTTGATGGTCAGTGCCATATTTATATATTTATTTAGGCATTTCTAACTCTTAATTTCATGTTTAGAACACGTTTAATAAATTTATTTAGGTATTTATTACTTTGACTTTCATTGTTTTGTTCTAGATCAACGTTCAGTTAACATTCATGCAGGTTTTAGACTTTGTAGGGAACATTTTTTATTTTAACAGGTTTTCCCTTCTCTTAACTGCCCTTATTTATCATCCTAACTCCAATCAGATATAAGAAGACTTTAAATGTCCCCCCTCCTTTCTCTCATGGTGTGTCTTGTTCATCTCGTCCTCTCTGACCCTCAGTTGGATACTCAACATGTCACTGGTGCCACGTCATGGAGAGAGAGTCTTTCGAAGATGAGGAAATCGGAAAAATCCTGAGCGATAACTTCGTCTGCATCAAAGTGGACCGAGAGGAGCGGCCAGACGTGGACAAAGTCTACATGACCTTCATTCAGGTGTGTGTGCACAGACAGCTGCATTTAAACCAGGGGTGTCCAAACCTTTTTCACCGAGGGCCACATGCAGAAAACTATACGAAGAGCTGGGCCGCTCATAGAGGCATTTTGCCACAAGTTAAGTTATAAGTTAGCAACATGTAGGTAAATTATGCTCGATACATGAATGTGCTTTAAGAAAGACAACAGCCTACATCTCAGCTCTCTATAGGGTTTCATTTATCTTATTAGCAGCTCATCCTTTAAAACAGAAGCTTCAGATTGATGATAACAAGAGGAAATGTGAAGGGTTTATTTCAAGCTAGTTATGTAATGAAGTTATTGGGCTTTTTTTGTATCAACTAAGATTTGTTAGAAAATGTTTTCAAGATGAATTGACTGAATTTATTTTAAAAGTGGGCTTCTTAACACATGAATACTACTGTGTAATACATTTTTACATATATATATTTAAGAAGTACAATATAAGAAAAGCACAAGGTTTCATGTGTGGGCCATATTCCATTATACTTTTTGAGTTTGCTGAGGGCCGATTAGTTTGGACACCCCTGATTTAAACTCTCTCCTTTATTCTTCTCTCTGCTAAACTCTCATTACGTCTGGTTTCTAACGTCTTCAGGCTACCTGTGGAGGTGGAGGTTGGCCCATGAGTGTGTGGTTGACCCCCGACCTTCGACCTTTCATTGGAGGAACGTACTTCCCTCCTACAGACCATGCACGAAGACCCGGGTTGAACACGGTTCTCACAAGAATCCTGGAACAGGTAAGGAGTTTTTAAAATGTGTACTTTCCTTCCTGTGTTTAAATCAAATCAAGTTTATTGGACTCCTTTGATGTAAAACAAGTTCAAATGAATGTTTACAGGACATTTTAATATACAGTAATTACACAAAAAACACAAATAAGTAAAACAAGAATATGACAAATTATTCTGAAATGAAAAAAATCGCAGTATATCATAAATTAAAGTGGAAAAGCTTAAAGGGGTGGTATTAAAGTTAAATGTGCAAAAATATACAGAGTTATGTGCTCTTGTTTGCAGACTGCAGTATGAGGGATAAGATGTGATTGTTATCTGTTATTAAAAGCTGCTTAGGACAAGGATCACAACCCAAATGTTGGGGAACAAGAACATATGTTGTTCCCAGCATATACTCTTATCATGTATGACTGTTTCTGCCCCTCAGTGGCAGAATAACCGCCCCGCTCTGGAGTCTAACGGAGCAAGGATCCTTGAAGCTCTGAAGAAAGGCACGGCGGTCTCTGCTAACCCCGGAGAGACTCCTCCTTCAGCTCCAGATGTGGCTCAGCGGTGTTTCCAGCAGCTGGCTCACTCCTACGAGGAAGAGTACGGAGGATTCAGAGACGCTCCAAAGTTCCCCACACCAGGTACGATCAGCTGGAGCCAGATGGGACGTGTTTCAGGCTTTAGAGGTCTCCTATCGAGCAACATGCACTTTTTGATGTCTGTTCTACATCAACATGTGTCCCCTCTGTGTAAAGAGATTCTGAAAGTTTGTGAGCTGATCAGATTTTGGCCACTTGATGATGTCATAATGATGTTTTGTGTAACCATTAGCCAATCAGCAACCAAGGTAACCCCCCCCCCCCCTTATCACCTGAATCTCCTCCTAGAGCACCATTGAGTTCTTTGTAACCACATGTCTCTCAGAGGGGCGTGGGGAGGGGCTCCTTATTTTCATCTAAAGTAACAGACACAGAATCAGCACTTTGGAAACAGGGCTGAAACAGAGGGGATTATGGGTAATGCTGCAATGATCTGTTTGGAGTTTCAGCCAATCAGAGACAGGCTCTGGATATATCTGAGACCTGTGATATACTGATGAAGAAGAGGATAATAGGGAACCTTTTAAGTGTGTGATAGCGCCATGCAGCCTGCCTCTCTATTTGCAAAGTTGTACCTCATCCAATAACCTCTGTCTCCCCTCCTCTCCTCCTCAGTGAACCTGATGTTCCTCATGTCCTTCTGGTCGGTGAACCGCTGCTCCTCTGAGGGGGGGGAAGCTCTGCAGATGGCCCTGCACACTCTGAGGATGATGGCGCGGGGGGGCATCCACGACCACGTGGCTCAGGTTCATACACGGATCAATTAAACAGCAATTAGGGGATTACTTTGTGGGGTCTTTGACGTTACAATTGCCATTGGATGAGGTTGTTTATGTACAGACAGACTGAAAAACACATTGTCTGTCTGTTTAATTGTTTTATGTCCTATATATATTCATGTTGCTATGTTGGAGGAGTCCGTGACTTAAGTTTTTCATTGACATATCTACACTGTCGCTGCTGTGCACATGATGATAGAGCCTTGAATCTCATCCTACATAATTATCCTTTGTTTTCTAGTCTTACATTTCAGGTCAGATATGCTTTCCATTTTGTATAAGGATGTGAATGTGCAGTTTATTCACAAAGAACCTTTTAAAAACATGCACAATTCAGCATTACAGTTACAAAGACAGCTTTAATACACTCAAAGAATGGAACCAACTGAAAAAGCTGCAGCTAAACACAGAATAAAGCCCAGTTAAGATCATGATAAGGGAGTTTTATATTGTCGGAGATAATATATTTAATTTTAACTAAATGTCAGAAAGTATATAATGAATAAGTATTTTTGTCTCTTGTCTGCAGGGTTTCCATCGTTACTCCACTGATATCTCCTGGCATGTTCCTCACTTTGAGAAGATGCTGTACGACCAGGCTCAGCTGGCTGTAGCCTACATCACTGCCTCCCAGGTGTGTGTGTGTGTGTGTGTGTGTGTGTGTGTGTGTGTGTGTGTGTGTGTGTGTGTGTGTGTGGTGTGTGTGTGTGTGTGTGTGTGTGTGTGTGTGTGTGTGTGTGTGTGTGTGTGTGTGTGTGTGTGTGTGTGTGTGTGTGTGTGTGTGTGTGTGTGTGTGTGTGTGTGTGTGTGTGTGTGTGTGTGTGTGTGTGTGTGTGTGTGTGTGTGTGTGTGTGTGTGTGTGTGTGTGTGTGTGTGTGTGTGTGTGTGTGTGTGTGTGTGTGTGTGTGTGTGTGTGTGTGTGTGTGTGTGTGTGTGTGTGTGTGTGTGTGTGTGTGTGTGTGTGTGTGTGTGTGTGTGTGTGTGTGTGTGTGTGTGTGTGTGATCATGATCATGTGGCTGTGTGATCTGTTTATGTGGCTGTGTGATCTGTTTATGTGGCTGTGTGATCTGTTTATGTGGCTGTGTGTGTTCTTCTTTACAGTATGTATATGAAAAGATACATATCTCTCCATCATTCTCTACCTCTCTTATCCACGTCAAAAATTATCTTTGTGAGACTTAGGACACACACACACACACACACACACACACACACACACTCACACTCACACATCACCATGTATACATCACTTCAGGGGACATTACATTGACTTACATGCATTTCCTGGAGACTTATCCTAACCTTAACCATAACCAACACACGCCTAACCCTAACCCTAACAAGTCTTCACCCTAAAATGAATGATTCCCTTATGGGGTCCTCCATTATGTCCCCATAAGGGAGGCGAGTCCCCACACAATGGGGGGGGGGATAAACAGATTTAGGTCCCCACAAGGATGCTAATGCTCGGCCACACACACACATACAGACACACACACGCACACGCACACGCACACACACACACACACACACACACACACACACACACACACACACACACCTATAGTTTGTGTTTAATGACTCAGCATTTGCATTGAAGTCTTTAAGTCCCTTAATCGCTCGATGGTATCTTTAAGGACGTCTCTCACCAGGTGTGTGTTCTGTGTGTCTACCTGTCCAGGTCTCAGGTGAGCAGCTGTTTGCCGACGTGGCTAAAGACATTCTGCTGTACGTCTCCAGAGACCTGAGTGACAAGGTGAGTCCGAGTCAGCCAATCAGGGCACTTCTCTGAATGACAGTCAGCAAGGTAAACAGAGAAATAAACATTGTTTTCTCTCTTTTTTATAAATCAAGAAGGCCTCAATTAACTCTTTAAGTGAAATAAAGACTGACTTTTCTTTTAAAAACAGGCTTGGATAAATGTTAGTGAGGGAGTTGGTGCTTCCTCGCAAATATATTAATTAAAGGGACGTTAGGAAAGTGTTATCTTGTCAGTGAAGGTTACTGTTAATGTAGTCATTAAAAACTGAGCTTTATAAACTCTACTGTACTGCTGCTGATAAAGCTCAGTGTGTGTCTGTGTGTAATTAAGCACATCAACAATGCTTTACCTGAGTATTATTTTGTATGCTACTCTACTTCTACAGGTCAGTGTGTGGGGCTGTACAGTGACAGTGTGTGTGTTAGGGGTGGGACCTCTCCTCTGAGGGTCAAACCCCTAACCCCCCGTTTGATTAACGAGCAGCGAACAGGCCACACACACGATAATCTCTGTAGATTTATAATGTAATTACACCATAATGAATTAGCATTTCAGAGGTGATTTACTTCAGACTGTGTGAGTTAGCTTTGGTGCTACAGGAGCTCTCCTTCAGTTCTCAGCGTGACTGTAAAAGTATTTTTTTAAAGAGCGTCTGCAGACATGTTGGATAGCCAGGTTCTTAAAAGACACTTTAACTGATTCCTGTCACTGTGAAGCTTCAATGACTTACATGCAGGTCTCACAGCCTTCAGAGGAGCTCATTGATTCATTGATTAATTGATCCGTCAGATTTGCAGGTGTTAACTCAGCTGTAAATGCATCACACATTCATCTTAATTCACCTTGCAGTTAAATAGTAGATTTAGAATCTGAGTATTTATATTTATAACGGGGGAAATTAGGTTTTGTGACAGTTGCTCCATTTTAGAATAAAATAACAATAAAATAAAATGGAATTAAAAATAAGTTTATAAATATAAGAAATTAAATAAAAATGTATATAAAATGTGCAGTAAAAGTGACAACAATTATTCAAAACTAAAGTAGGTAAAACCGTCCAATAAAATGTGTATATAAACCCCAAAAGTTAAATAAAACGAAAATAAAACATTATTAGTAAGTAGTTAAATAAAAAAATTCACTAAAAATACAATAAAATGTAATAAAATAATTATATAAACATAAGAATTTAAAATAAAAATGTGCACTGAAAGATAAAATACAATGAACATATTGATAGAAGCTTAAAAAGTTATATATGCGAAATTAAATGAAAAATGCACAATAGATAACCTTCTCTTCCCGTCTCCTCTGGACAGTCCGGAGGTTTCTACAGTGCGGAGGATGCCGACTCTGTCCCGCCGTCGGGGGGGGCGGAGAAGAAGGAGGGGGGGGCAGAAAAGATGGAGAAGAGGGAGGGAGCTTTCTGCGTCTGGACGGCGGCGGAGGTCCGGGATCTGTTTCCAGAAGTTGTGGAGGGAAGCTCTGGAGCGACTCAGGCGGACGTCTTCATGCATCACTACGGGGTCAAAGAGCTGGGGAACGTGGACCCTGAACAGGTACTCTAGGGTGGTCCTTAGTGCCATGTACATTTTCCAAATTCATGTATTTGAAGCTCCAACCACCGGAACTCGTTATGATGGTCAAGAAAACTCTCCTGGTGAATTGTATTCAAATTCCAACAACATTTGCCCCCCCCCCCCTCATCAACCTGGGGTGCCACACCAGCTACACTTCCAGGTCGATGAGGGGGGGGGGGTACATGATGTCAGACTGAGGAAAACATTCACCAGGAGAGTTTTCTTGACTAATAGAATGCATTCTGAGGATAGAGCTACTTTCCCACTTTCCATTTGAAGGACCACCCTAAGGTACACGCATTTATTACATAGACTGTATAATATATATATATAAAGATTTATTATCACGTGTAGCCACTGCCACACCTACCTTACCTTCAATTGGTTGTATGAATATTTTTATTTTATTATTTTATACAAATATATTTTTTAATAATGATTTTTTTTATAGAAATATTTCAATTTTATTTAGTTTCATCTTCTTTATTTATTTTATTTAACTTCTCATACATATAAAGATATTTTTGATTCTATAATATTATTATTTTATTTTACATTTTTACTTTAACATGTTTTGTTTTAATTAATATCTTTACTTAAAGGGGACCTATCGTGCAAAATGCACTTTTTATATATTTTATTCATAACTATGTGTCCCCGGTGCGTCGGAAAATAAAACCCTCTCTCTTTTCCTCCGTACCCAAATCTTTTAAAAACGGGGCTACAACGAGCGGATACAGATTTGCTGCCGATATGACGTCAAATCGGCGGTGGAACCCACAGAGAGTTGCTATCAGAAACAATGCCTGACGTGTTTTGGACGTAATCTCGTCTTTGTTTACATTAGCAAGCGTCGCTAACGCTCAGAGCTAACCTGTGCTGGAGAGCACATGTGTTTAAAAAGCAGGAAATGAAAAAAGGAACTCACCTTGTGATAAACCTTAGAGAGAAAAAGCATTTGAGCTCCATACTGTTTCAGAAATAATCCTTGATGTGGTTTAGAACAGGGTTCCTACGGTCATTAAAAACCTGGAAAAGTCATGGAAATTCAAAATGCAAATTCCAGGCCTTGGAAAAGTCATGGAAATGTAACTATAGTTGCATCAAATATAATTTATATGTTATCTAATCGCCGAAATAGCAATACTGTAATGATAATAAATACTGTATCGTATAGTAATGAAACGTAAAATGGCATTTAACTGACGAGGTATTTTGCTGGTGAGAGATTTCAGTTGCTTTAGTCTGTAGAAGCTAGTAAGCCTACTATTTGATTTGTTTTAGATAGGCACAGCATGTTTCATATGCAGACCTTATTTTCCTGTTCCATGTTAAAATAAAAATGTTTCAGTGGTACCGCTGAGAAGAGTAATTTTCTTGGTCATGGAAAATTAGGTAAAGGTTATGGAGAAGTCATTGAAAATCATTGGTGAAAAAGTGTATAACCCTGTTTAGAACAGGATGGCGTTTTATCACAGCATAATTTAACTTTGTCTCCGGTAGAATTCTGATCAGGCATTAGCTCCGCCTCCTCTTTTTTTTTTTTCAAGCTAAGGACCCAAAATCCACGTTTCTCTAACAGCTAGAGGGGTTTGAGCAGTATGAGGCATGACTACAACGGGGGATCTGTTTGGGATTTTAAGCAAAAAACTTCACAGACATGTTTTGTATAGGTATGGCCCTACAATATATGTTTCCAATATAGCATGATAGGTCCACTTTAAATTAAATAATATATATTTATTTGGATTATTCATGTCTTATGTTTATATAAATATCTGTATTTAATTTGTATTTAAAATGTAGTAATAAAACCCAATTTCTCTCTGGATAAAATATTCAAATTTGTATCAAGCATCAATTAAAATGTCTACATAAAGACACATTTAAATAAAATAAAAAGTCACACAACGCTTATTAATATTATATATATCTCCAGACAGCATGTTAAATATTAAATCCTCTTCTCTCTGGTTCTCTCTCTCTTCATGCCCCCAGGACCCCCACGGGGAGCTGGGGGGTCAGAACATTCTGATCGTGCGTTACTCCGTGGAGCTGACAGCTGCTCGCTTCGGCCTCAGCGTGGACAGAGTCTCCGAGCTACTGAGCGCCGCCAGAGCCAAGATGGCCGACGTGAGGAAGACCCGGCCCCGCCCACATCTGGACACCAAGATGCTGGCCTCCTGGAACGGTAACGAAAACTGGTTTAAATACAGATTTACACTAAAATAACATAACATCTTAAAGGTTGATTTAACATGGAGGACAGTTTACTTATTATTTATTTTTTAAATCAGGTTTTATTTCAGTTTGAGCTACTTATACACACTTTTGTCTGCTATTTTTTGTCCATTTTAGCTGAATCTACATAGTTTACATAAGGAACGAAAATAGAAAAGTGGAAAAAACACAATAACTAAGTACAAATAAAATAGATACAAAATATTAGATAATATTAATAAATAATGAATAATAAAAAGTACAGTTTTACTCAGTTTTATTTTACTTTTAGCAACTTTTACTAACAAATCCACATTGTTTATACATATAATAGGGAGAATATCTGAAAGAAGAAAAGAGAAATAAAATAAGAATACATTATTAAATAATTACACGTACCTATAAATATAATTAAATAAATGATAAGTAAATAATAAATACAAGAAAAAAATAAAAATGAAATAATTAGAAATACATATAAATCTAATTACATACATAATAACTAAATAACAAGGTACAGTTAATTTTTTATGAAGTTTAACAGAAATATTTTTATATTTAGCCATGATCTTCCCATGTCATGGCCATTTCTACTGATCATGATTCCATTGTTGAGGTCTACTAGAATAGATTTACTTTGTTCAATGTTCCAAACTCACATTGGTTTCTCACAGCATCTCTGTAAAGTCTGTGTATTCACTCTCTGTCCTACACGGCTTGTTGGAGCCAAACTAAATATAGTTTATATAGCTATCAATTACAAATGTTATCTATTATTATTATTTCACAATAATCATGAATAGAATTCGAAAATAAATGTCCATATAAATATAGATTTTGATGCAATTGTTTCCACTTTTAAATTGAATTATTGTATTTGGAAAGTTCATCGTTTTGGAAAAACATTTCACACATAGAGAAGGTGAGTCTCAGGGTAATGCTATACAATTAACTAACCGACAACACAACGTTACTTACCGTATAGAGTGCATGGTGATCTACATATTCAGTAGGGTGCATGATACATACATATAATACCTGTAGTCTAATAAGGTGTGTTTAATTATTGAGGTCATAAGAGTTTCATATCAGACATTAAAGTGCAGTAAGGTTAAAGAGGTCACATCACAATGCAGGTGTGTGTGTGTGTGTGTGTGTGTGTGTGTGTGTGTGTGTGTGTGTGTGTGTGTGTGTGTGTGTGTGTGTGTGTGTGTGTGTGTGTGTGTGTGTGTGTGTGTGTGTGTGTGTGTGTGTGTGTGTGTGTGTGTGTGTGTGTGTGTGTGTGTGTGTGTGTGTGTGTGTGTGTGTGTGTGTGTGTGTGTGTAGTGTGTGTGTGTGTGTGTGTGTGTGGTGTGTGTGTGTGTGTGTGTGTGTGTGTGTGTGTGTGTGTGTGTGTGTGTGTGTGTGTGTGGTGTTGTGTGTGTGTGTGTGTGTGTGTGTGTGTGTGTGTGTGTGTGTGTGTGTGTGTGTGTGTGTGTGTGTGTGTGTGTGTGTGTGTGTGTGTGGTGTGTGTGTGTGTGTGTGTGTGTGTGTGTGTGTGTGTGTGTGTGTGTGTGTGTGTGTGTGTGTGTGTGTGTGTGTGTGTTAGGGAGGTAATGAGCCTCTGCGATCTGGAGAACTTTCCAATTAGACGCTCGTCTCCTTCTCGTCTCTAATGAAGAAACCCTCCATTAATCACCTGTCCTCGGCTGAGGCTCACTTTGAAGAGCTGCACCTCTGCTGGCTTTGATAGGATACATGAAAGAGGGGGGAGGAAAGGAGAGGAGAGGAGGAGGAGAGGAGGCAGAGGAGTTGAAGAAAGGAGGGACTTTCCTATAGTGTGTTCTTTAGGTTTTACTGCATTTAAATACACCTGGACATCAGCAGGAGAGGACTCTTTAAAGTAGAGACACTACATACTGATATACACCTGAACATCAGCAGGAGAGGACTCTTTAAAGTAGAGACACTACATACTGATATACATCTGAACATCAGCAGGAGAGGACTCTTTAAAGTAGAGACACTACATACTGATATACACCTGAACATCAGCAGGAGAGGACTCTTTAAAGTAGAGACACTACATACTGATATACACCTGAACATCAGCAGGAGAGGACTCTTTAAAGTAGAGACACTACATACTGATATACACCTGAACATCAGCAGGAGAGGACTCTTTAAAGTAGAGACACTAAATACTGATATACACCTCATCAGCAGGAGAGGACTCTTTAAAGTAGAGACACTACATACTGATATACACCTGGACATCAGCAGGAGAGGACTCTTTAAAGTAGAGACACTACATACTGATATACACCTGAACATCAGCAGGAGAGGACTCTTTAAAGGAGAGACACTACATACTGATATACACCTGAACATCAGCAGGAGAGGACTCTTTAAAGTAGAGACACTACATACTGATATACACCTGAACATCAGCAGGAGAGGACTCTTTAAAGTAGAGACACTACATACTGATATACACCTGAACATCAGCAGGAGAGGACTCTTTAAAGTAGAGACGCTACATACTGATATACACCTGAACATCAGCAGGAGAGGACTCTTTAAAGTAGAGACACTACATACAGATATACACCTGAACATCAACAGGAGAGGACTCTTTAAAGTAGAGACACTACATACTGATATACACCTGAACATCAGCAGGAGAGGACTCTTTAAAGTAGAGACACTACATACTGATATACACCTGAACATCAGCAGGAGAGGACTCTTTAAAGTAGAGACACTACATACTGATATACACCTGGACATCAGCAGGAGAGGACTCTTTAAAGTAGAGACCCTACACACTGATATACACCTGAACATCAGCAGGAGAGGACTCTTTAAAGTAGAGACACTACATACTGATATACACCTGAACATCAGCAGGAGAGGACTCTTTAAAGTAGAGACACTACATACTGATATACATCTGAACATCAGCAGGAGAGGACTCTTTAAAGTAGAGACACTACATACTGATATACACCTGAATATCAGCAGGAGAGGACTCTTTAAAGTAGAGACACTACATACTGATATACACCTGAACATCAGCAGGAGAGGACTCTTTAAAGTAGAGACACTACATACTGATATACACCTGAACATCAGCAGGAGAGGACTCTTTAAAGTAGAGACACTACATACTGATATACACCTGAACATCAGCAGGAGAGGACTCTTTAAAGTAGAGACACTACATACTGATATACACCTGAACATCAGCAGGAGAGGACTCTTTAAAGTAGAGACACTACATACTGATATACACCTGAACATCAGCAGGAGAGAACTCTTTAAAGTAGAGACACTACATACTGATATACACCTGAACATCAGCAGGAGAGGACTCTTTAAAGTAGAGACACTACATACTGATATACACCTGAACATCAGCAGGAGAGGACTCTTTAAAGTAGAGACACTACATACTGATATACACCTGAATATCAGCAGGAGAGGACTCTTTAAAGTAGAGACACTACATACTGATATACACCTGAACATCAGCAGGAGAGGACTCTTTAAAGTAGAGACACTACATACTGATATACACCTGAACATCAGCAGGAGAGGACTCTTTAAAGTAGAGACACTACATACTGATATACACCTGAACATCAGCAGGAGAGGACTCTTTAAAGCAGAGACACTACATACTGATATACACCTGAACATCAGCAGGAGAGGACTCTTTAAAGTAGAGACACTACATACTGATATACACCTGAACATCAGCAGGAGAGGACTCTTTAAAGTAGAGACACTACATACTGATATACACCTGAACATCAGCAGGAGAGGACTCTTTAAAGTAGAGACACTACATACTGATATACACCTGGACATCAGCAGGAGAGGACTCTTTAAAGTAGAGACACTACATACTGATATACACCTGAACATCAGCAGGAGAGGACTCTTTAAAGTAGAGACACTACATACTGATATACACCTGAACATCAGCAGGAGAGGACTCTTTAAAGTAGAGACACTACATACTGATATACACCTGAACATCAGCAGGAGAGGACTCTTTAAAGTAGAGACACTACATACTGATATACACCTGAACATCAGCAGGAGAGGACTCTTTAAAGTAGAGACGCTACATACTGATATACACCTGAACATCAGCAGGAGAGGACTCTTTAAAGTAGAGACACTACATACAGATATACACCTGAACATCAACAGGAGAGGACTCTTTAAAGTAGAGACACTACATACTGATATACACCTGAACATCAGCAGGAGAGGACTCTTTAAAGTAGAGACACTACATACTGATATACACCTGAACATCAGCAGGAGAGGACTCTTTAAAGTAGAGACACTACATACTGATATACACCTGACATCAGCAGGAGAGGACTCTTTAAAGTAGAGACCCTACACACTGATATACACCTGAACATCAGCAGGAGAGGACTCTTTAAAGTAGAGACACTACATACTGATATACACCTGAACATCAGCAGGAGAGGACTCTTTAAAGTAGAGACACTACATACTGATATACATCTGAACATCAGCAGGAGAGGACTCTTTAAAGTAGAGACACTACATACTGATATACACCTGAATATCAGCAGGAGAGGACTCTTTAAAGTAGAGACACTACATACTGATATACACCTGAACATCAGCAGGAGAGGACTCTTTAAAGTAGAGACACTACATACTGATATACACCTGAACATCAGCAGGAGAGGACTCTTTAAAGTAGAGACACTACATACTGATATACACCTGAACATCAGCAGGAGAGGACTCTTTAAAGTAGAGACACTACATACTGATATACACCTGAACATCAGCAGGAGAGGACTCTTTAAAGTAGAGAACACTACATACTGATATACACCTGAACATCAGCAGGAGAGAACTCTTTAAAGTAGAGACACTACATACTGATATACACCTGAACATCAGCAGAGAGGACTCTTTAAAGTAGAGACACTACATACTGATATACACCTGAACATCAGCAGGAGAGGACTCTTTAAAGTAGAGACACTACATACTGATATACACCTGAATATCAGCAGGAGAGGACTCTTTAAAGTAGAGACACTACATACTGATATACACCTGAACATCAGCAGGAGAGGACTCTTTAAAGTAGAGACACTACATACTGATATACACCTGAACATCAGCAGGAGAGGACTCTTTAAAGTAGAGACACTACATACTGATATACACCTGAACATCAGCAGGAGAGGACTCTTTAAAGTAGATACACTACATACTGATATACACCTGAACATCAGCAGGAGAGGACTCTTTAAAGTAGAGACACTACATACTGATATACACCTGAACATCAGCAGGAGAGGACTCTTTAAAGCAGAGACACTACATACTGATATACACCTGAACATCAGCAGGAGAGGACTCTTTAAAGTAGAGACACTACATACTGATATACACCTGAACATCAGCAGGAGAGGACTCTTTAAAGTAGAGACACTACATACTGATATACACCTGAACATCAGCAGGAGAGGACTCTTTAAAGTAGAGACACTACATACTGATATACACCTGAACATCAGCAGGAGAGGACTCTTTAAAGTAGAGACACTACATACTGATATACACCTGAACATCAGCAGGAGAGGACTCTTTAAAGTAGAGACACTACATACTGATATACACCTGATCATCAGCAGGAGATCTCCTCTCTGATCATCTCTTCTTCTTCTTCTTCTCCTCTCAGGTCTGATGCTGTCGGCCTACTCCTGTGTTGGAGCTGTCCTGGAGGACAAGGCTCTGCTGGAGAGAGCGGTTCAGGCTGCTAACTTCCTGAAGGAGAACCTGTGGGACGCCGAGCGACAGACCGTCCTCCGGTCCTGCTACAGAGGAGAAGACATGGAGCTGCAGCAGATGTAAGAGACTGACGGTTTTTTAAGAGGAAACGGTGTATAGAGCAGACATAGATTTGGTTTATAAATCACCTTTCAAAACATAATCACAAAGTGCTTTCACATAAAAACAAACAAAACCAAACATACAGCAACAATAAATATAGAAAAACCAATATATGAAAAGTAAAATGATGTATTTAAGTACATGGAGACATGGAGCTGCAACAGATGTAAGAGACTGGTTGTGTCTCAATGTCGAGGACGCTTCCTTGGTCGGACATGTCTTCCGAGTCAGGTCCTTCAGAAGCAAGGCAAGAATCCTTCCTAGCAGGTGTGCGTCATATGCGAGGCCCCGCCTTAAATGGAGCGCGATTTCCGCCAAAGATTTTGGAAATTGGTCCGTGCGCAAAGCATTGTGGGGATTTTAAGACTGCGGAGGATACACATGTGCAGCCTCGAAATTTCCCGCAATGAAGGACGCCGGCCTCGGTAGAACTCCAAGCATCCTGAACATTGGAACAGTCCTTCGGCGGGACTCGATGACGTAGCATCCTGGAAATAGTGGCTCTGGAGCATCCTTCCTCGACATTGAGAAACCCCCACTGAACAGTGTTTTATAAGAGGAAACGGTATGTAGAGAATAAATAATAATATACTTACACAGAGAGCAAGTGAACCAAACGACTACATCTAAACATAAAATCAAAACAAAAAAACGAATATACAATAAAACGTGTATTTGACAATATATGCAAAGTAAAATGTTGTATTTTAGTACATGCAGTGTTACTTTGACTACACACACACACACACACACACACACACACACACACACACACACACACACACACACACACACACACACACACACACACAGAGAGAACATGCAGAATCCTGCTCTCTGTTAAACTGGTTGACCTAGTCTCCATCATAATGCACATTTAAAACAAGACTGGACATATTTTAATTGGATTATAGACGTTGTTGTTGTTTTATGGACTGACAGCACTTTTTCTTCAAAGCAGTAATTCAATACGAGACGCTCTCCTTGTATTTCAATGAATATTGATTTAAGGGAAGTCTGACAACATGGAATATAAAAGTCCTGCTAGTGTTTTGTGAAATATAAGTGAATGTCTGAGGAAGATTAAATCCCATAACCTGATTAAAGGAGATCTCCAGCAGCCTGCAGTACCACAAACTCCCTGAAGGAGGCAGCATGTCGTCAGTGTAAACGTTAAATCATCAGTAAACAAACACAGCTCCTTGTTGCATGGACGTTTCCTCCAGATGTCCTCGTTCTGTTCGCCCTGCCCTACTTCCTGTGATTGAGTGAGTGGGAGACACCGTCGAGTCAGCAGAAGAAACGAGATGAGCCCCACAACATGCATGAAGAGATGCATTCAATTTAGTCACCGGCCTGTTTCCACAGAGACTCGTCTTTTAAAACGCTCCGGAGGTTTCTCTGCAGCTTCTGGTTCAGTTTCACCACCTCTCTGTCGGGACACATTTAGAGCGTGTTTACCTGGAGGAATTACAGGTGATGATACAAACTGGGTTAGTCAACTGGGGAGGGAAAGGCAGAGAAGACAAGTAAGAAGGATATAAGACAAAACATTTTAAAATACAATAATACATCAATAAACTAATTAATTAAAAAGTCAGAATCAGATTATTTTGAATATAGTTTTATTTAGATTTCTAATACATATTTATATAAAGACAAGATGTAAGACTAAAATGTCCAATACAAGATCAAATTAAATATAATAGAATACAAATATTTAAATCATTAGTATTTATTTAACATACTGTAAGTACAAATGTTTATTAAAACATAAAATAGAGTAATATCATTTATAAACATAGGACGTTAAAGTAAACATTTGTAATAAAAACATTTAAAAATTAAAATATTTGGAAGAAGTTTGATAAAAAAAGATATCCAATAAAAGAAAAATATATATAAGTTGATATAAAGTACAAATAGAATAACAACACATGTGTCAACAAGAGTAAATATGTAAACACGTGTGTGGAACAGGTATGTTTCCCCCGTCTCTTAGTAATATCAGCCTCAAAAACAGTCCCACATATGACCCCTTCCTCTCCTCCTGGTCTCAGCATCTTCACCTCCGTCCTCTCCTCACACACTCGACCTGTCCTCCTGCACTCACCCAGGCAGGGGGGGCATCATGGGAACTGTGGGAGAGGGGAGAGGGCTGTTAGCAGATCACAGAGAACAGATTGTAAAATTGAGACGCAACGAAAGCGAGGAACAATTCTGTAGTGAGAGTTTATATCAGATTGTAGCCCGTTCGTACACATATTCCTAACCTAACTATCTTTAAAGCCAATTCCTCCAGGTTTACATACTGTCTTGACGGAAGCTCGATCTCCTCCTGGCGTTGTTAACAAGCATTAGAAAGATAACACACAAACTAGTTCTCCAACAGTACCCCCATGTCACTGATCTATCGATGCATTTTTTAACTCAGATCTCTCCTTCCTCCCTCTCTGTCCTGCAGATCTCCTCCTATCTCCGGCTTCCTGGACGACTACGCCTTCCTGGTCTCAGGTCTGCTGGACCTGTACGAGGCGTCGCTGCAGACGCAGTGGCTTCAGTGGGCCGAGCAGCTGCAGCTCAGACAGGACGTGCTGTTCTGGGATCAGCAGGACGGAGGGTACTTCTGCAGCGACCCCAACGACACCTCCATCCTGCTGCAGCTCAAGAAAGGTGGGGAGGTGAACGCGTTGATATATGAGTATAGATATAACCCAGCCCTCTGTGTGATAGACATTACCACCATTCGTAATTTAACTAGCAGTCCAAAGTCCTCTCAAAGCAACATCTGTGTACATTTTCGTGAATTTAAATTTAGGCGAGAAATTAAATTCTGAATATGTTTACATGATTTCAACTTCACACTATTTAGGTATCAGACTATAAAAAACAATAAGTGTGGCTTGATATTGAGTAAAAAAAAGGTTGATAAACGCTGTGAGAATGGGTCTGCAGAGAGAATGGGTCTGCAGAGAGAATGGGTCTGTAGAGAGAATGGGTCTGCAGAGAGAATGGGTCTGCAGAGAGAACGGGTCTGCAGAGAGAACGGGTCTGTAGAGAGAATGGGTCTGCAGAGAGAATGGGTCTGCAGAGAGAATGGGTCTGTAGAGAGAATGGGTCTGTAGAGAGAATGGGTCTGTAGAGAGAACGGGTCTGTAGGAGAGAATGGGTCTGTAGAAGAACGGGTCTGCGAGAGACGGGTCTGTAGAGAGAACGGGTGTCTGTAGAGAGAACGGGTCTGCATACGTTAGAGAGAGAACGGGTCTGTAGAGAGAATGGGTCTGCAGAGAGAATGGGTCTGCAGAGAGAATGGGTCTGCAGAGAGAATGGGTCTGCAGAGAGAATGGGTCTGTGAGAGAATGGGTCTGTAGAGAGAACGGGTCTGCAGAGAGAATGGGTCTGCAGAGAGAATGGGTCTGCAGAGAGAATGGGTCTGTAGAGAGAATGGGTCTGTAGAGAGAACGGGTCTGTAGAGAGAATGGGTCTGCAGAGAGAACGGGTCTGCAGAGAGAACGGGTCTGTAGAGAGAACGGGTCTGTAGAGAGAACGGGTCTGCAGAGAGAATGGGTCTGTAGAGAGAATGGGTCTGTAGAGAGAATGGGTCTGCAGAGAGAATGGGTCTGCAGAGATGGGTCTGCAGAGAGAATGGGTCTGCAGAGAGAAGGGTCTGCAGAGAGAATGGGTCTGCAGAGAGAATGGGTCTGCAGAGAGAACGGGTCTGTAGAGAGAATGGGTCTGTAGAGAGAAGGGTCTGCAAGAGACAGGGTCTGCAGACGAGAACGGGTCTGCAGATGAGAACGGTCTGCAGAGAGACGGGTCTGTAGAGAGAACGGGTCTGCAGAGAGATACGGGTCTGCAGAGAGAACGGGTCGCTGCAGAGAGAACAGGGTCTGCAGAGAGAACGGGTCTGCAGAGAGAACGGGTCTGCAAGAGAGAACGGGTCTGCAGAGAGAAGGGTCTGTAGGAGAACGGGTCTGCAGAGAGAATGGTCTGCAGAGAGAACGGGTCTGCAGAGAGAATGGGTCTGCAGAGAGAATGGGTCTGTAGAGAGAATTGGTCTGTAGAGAGATGGGTCTGCAGAGAGAATGGGTCTGTAGAGAGAATGGGTCTGCAGAGAGAATGGGTCTGCAGAGAGAATGGGTCTGCAGAGAGAATGGGTCTGCAGAGAGAATTTCACCGCGATCCCAACTGTCTGTTATCAGCCAGGGAGGAGAGATCAGCAGAGCTGCTTGCACTGAGTGTGTGAGGAAGTCCGTGGATTGGTCAATTTGGACCAATCAGCGGGGGCTTAACGTAACGGCTCCGCGGACGTAACGTAACGGCTCCACGGATTGGTCCATTTGGTTCCGGGTACTGCATGACCGTATCGCGTCATAGCTCTGGGCGCGGCTACTGGCCACAGTACCCAGGAAGTAAACAATGGACAGTGACGTATCTCCAACGAGGCGTTTTGGGGAGGTATTTTCTGTGTTAGAGTTTTACTCGCTACAGGGTGTACTTTGAGGGTTTTCACTCTGCACACCGTTTACATGCATAAAAACCTTCATAACACAAGGGGACGGGTACTAACCAGAAAAGCATGACATGGGACCTTTAAATGAAATCTCAGATTTGCCTTCGTAATCGTTTGTTTGGGTCCCTCACTTCCGTTTCGCTTCTCATGCACTGATTCG